TGCTGAAGTATGGAATTGTTGCTACTCAATGTTAACTATGTTGATGCAGACAATACAGTCGACGCAAATAACAGTGGGGGAGCAAACTTTGATACACACTCCAGGATGAGAATAGGACCGAGGTATTCACCTGTAGTAAGAGCTGATATGGTATAGCATTCTGTTATCGCAAGTGAAAGATGGCGATTTTGAACAGCAGTCTGAGAGTTGTGTTCCCTACAATCTGAGCCGCGCCGATAACAACGATTGAACTATACTCACTAACTCGACAGTCGTAATAATCATCGAGCACAAGAACCGGTGATGAAAGCGCTATTCCATGAAAAGCATGACGGTAATGAGCCCTATGGACAAGAATAGAGAGAGACCCGTCCATGTACTGCGAACTGATGATGATAGTGCGGCCAGTTTCACGCAGTAGTCGATGTATCTAAGCTTGGGATAGAACGCAGGTGCGAATGAGTATTCACGATGAGCTTATATGCAGTAGTTGATCACAACGGCTGATTGTGAGATGAGGAGGATAGAACCGTTAGAATCTCGAGGAACCAAGAGGAGTTTCCTCCTTGGTTCCTCGAGATTCTCGTTCCACTAGCCTCGCAGGAAACCAAGGAGGAAACTCCTCTTGGGCTCATCCCTGGACCCGACTAACATGCGATCCTCAGTTCGATCCGCTGAACAGTGTTTAACGTTTAGTAAAACACACACTATTCTTTAGCGAATAGTGTTTAGTAAACACACCAGCCAAATCGGCCCGGGTTAGGGTGTCCAAGCCTAGAGAAACGAGAGCAATTACATCCAGGATGATCTCGTGACAAGAACGGCAAAAGCAACCGATACAGCCAAGGACCCATTTAGCGTCTAGAAATAACGTTCCCCAGGGTTTGATAACAATGGTGAAAATTTTCCTAATAAGATGACATTCACACCGGAAGCTGATTGAAAAATGTTCCTAGCCATGTGGAATATTCTAAATGAGTTCCCCTCGGGAGCATTATAGGTTCCTGGATGATTCTCTGGATACAACAACCCACCGATCGCTTGACGCGAGGCCACATTCTGAAGGTGGAACGTATGGGCCTCCAGACAGCTGCTGCACCTCACAGAGTAACGCGTAGTATCTACGGCGGAAGACAGGTCAGAATAATTCATATTATTCTGCCACTTCCGTTTAGCTTCTTCTCCCCTCGCTAGCAAACACTCTTCCTCATCCCAAAAAGATCCACAGTTCTTGGCTCGATAATAGAGCCAATCACGGAGTCTTTCTTGCTTGTTTGCAAAGTCGCCCGCAACGGGCATGCAGTACCCACACACACTATCACATAGGTAAGTATCAGTCTAAAGCGTCGCTTACTTGCCATCACCACTGGCCCACCAAGACTTGCAAACACACTTGCCCGTTTGCCCGGTAGCGTCTGTAGTCGTGCAGTCTTCATCAGAATCGCATCTAGCATTCTCATTATTGTTCAACATGGGCTCACTTCCTCACCTACGACCGACTCTGTGAGACTTAGCCGCTACGGCGCATCGGCTATATGCATCGAGGAAGCCACTGGCACACAGCTCAGGGTAGGGTGACACAGCACCGATGACCAGCGAGAATAACCGTCGACATCTGATCAAATCACTATGCATGAACAGATTCGATGAGATATCTGTGCCCTCTCAGACCCCGCGATGGTGATAGTGGTAGTAGTTTGCAGTCTGGTACCGTTTAGTGGCCTAATTCGACCATATGCTGTTTGTTAACGGGAAGACAGCAGATAGTAGAGCACGAGCAGGCTGATAGCGAGCGATGACAAGAATGAATTCGAAGTGCGGTAATAACAAGTTGTTGATGATGAAGCCCTCCTATAGTAGCAGTAGGATACCCTACTTAGGTGAGCTCTCATGAGTATTGCATCTACAGTCCGGTTGGCACTCTCTATCGCCCTCGCACGCCTCTCCTTCACTTTTCTGTGATACACACACCTTCCTCCAGTACGGGTCTTCACCATTGGTAGGGTCATCGGGGCAGTAATAGCCAACATGCGGGCAGTCCATATCGATCGTGCAAAGCTATCAAAGAGGACACTTCACGAACTCCTCGGTACCCCAAGCCTCACCGAAACGTCCTGGTCCACTGTACCTGAAGTTGATCCTAATCAGCATCTGAGATTTTCATGGTATCAGTACTCGAGGCACTGCCTCCGATATAGGAAGCAGGTTGGCATGTGGTGTTCACACACCGTTTCCGACCGCTGATGCAGTCCATATCAGTTCGGCAGGCCATCCCGACCTTCTTCCTATCCCGACACACCCATACGGCGGCCCCTTGCTCTCCCGGCTGAGGGGTCGGCGGTGTGTCGTCCCACCAGGCAGCTACACACGAACCCTGACCAAATTTTTGCGGCATGCGTGTCTCCATTATGGTTCCTCACTTGCACTCTGTCGATAGCAGTGTAACCTGTACAGTTATAACAGGAGTTGGACGGATGGCAAGTTTGGTCCAAAGGGCAGTAGTTCTTGCTCAAGTCGCCCTTGCAGTTAGCCGGGCTCGGCTGGACGCATCTGTCAAGGCAGCAGCAGCAGTATGGGAAAACACGCACATGGTCAACCACATGTGTTGGTGACAACATGAGGGGATTCTTGCTGGTTTATGTATACTCCTACCCTAATTCGTATGTGAACTCCCATAACTACCAAGGGAAATTTTCGAGATCGGCTGAGGATAGCGAGCGTATATTCCAACACTGGGTCACAGAGGCCCCGCGCTGAGGCTATGACTACTTATGTTCGACGTGATCAAGAGCAGTCTTCCATCCACACTCTGAGCAGTCACCATCTGGCTTGCACGTTCGGTCCAACGAGCAGAACTCCTTCCCCCCATCTTCGTGACAGATCTCTCCCTAAACGTAATTATTCCCTTGCTCGACTATCGAGCCGATCCTTCAGGGGGTCTCCCCTCCAACAGAGGGTATGAGGGGTTAACGATGCCCACCTGCAGCTCGGGTGCGGCACAAGCATCAGCTATGGCTGGTGACACATCTTCCGTTAAGTCTCGGCACACCGAGAGGTTGAGGCCTTCGTAGACGCCCTACGTGTATCAGCAGGCCCTTATAATAGTTCGATAACAACACACAGTTCACTTGAAGTCTCCTCCGACCTAGCATGGATTCACCCTGTGGGACTGCGCCCGGGGCGAGCAGGGTTTGGGCACGATAAAGTTGTGTTGGCAAACCTGCATTGCTAGCAGTAGGGAAGTGTAAGCCCGTAGCTATACCCGAGAACTCTGTCTGAGTGAGATGGCCATCCGTATTATCATCTAACGCGAGGAAGAGATGTGACAGAGTAAACGCACGGCCTAAGGCGTACTCCCCCTGCACCTTATACCTGGGCAACGCCGTCACCAAAACCTGTCCGGTTCAACCATTGAAGCTATAGTACAGACACATATAAAACTTCGGTCAAGTGAAATAATATAATAACTCTGATATTCATGATGGAGTTTCACCCGTGATAAGAAGAACGCTAGTGAAAATCATATCTCACAATTCAATTGTCGGAAAACCATTGTCTTGTCGGTGGCCGAAAAATATACGTCCGATAATTTTCATGGAGTATTACACCACTTCACGTTCGATAGGCGAAGCTCCATTATGAAGTTATTTGTAATATAAAATCGAAGGCTATGACGCATCGGCCATTTCCCAACAAGCTCACCCTTCAGAGACCCTCTGGAACTCCTCATAAGATATTGGAAAAATTCTGTGACTCGGTTGGATCTAAAGACACAGTCTTAATCATCGTTGGCCCTAACAACTGGCCACCTCAGTCTCGTTCAGCTCAAGTTCACTTTCAGTCGCTACCCTCTCCAACTGACTGTACATCTCTACCACTGTCTCGCCGCGAGTGAATTCCGACTTGGGTATCGCCGGGTTGAAGGGGGCGACCTCGGTCCACTTGGGAATTTGTCTGATGGGCCACCGGTGAGGGCACTCTTATCAATATGCTCTACTTAGGCGCCGGAGCCACTAGGCACCCTTTACCACCGAGATCCCAAACACATCGTGGCTCAGGGCAAAGGGTCGGATGGGGGTAGGTCTCGCATGGGCGATAACACACCCCTTGACCCGAGCCGCACACACTCGAGACGCCACACTGTTCACCGTAACTGTGGCGTCAACTGGCAAGCTGATAACGCGGTTGTTGGGCACCCACCCGACTTCTATCATGAAGGGAGGGGCCTCGCAAGTGCACACGGTGGGGTCGGTACCACTACACTGGGTACACGTACTAGCAGAGGTAGGGCAAGGTCTGCAATAGGATACGAATGGCTAAACGTGATGCTCATCAGATTCCCACTTCTCCATGAGATAAGATGACGGTAGGTGTTCCTTGCAGTACTCCGACTTCTGCGACAAGCATGAATTACGCTCGCACTGGTTGGGCAGGAACTCTGCTATCGCCAAGAATGGCAGCACTCCGATCCCTGAAGAGGTATTTGGTCGCCGAATGGAGCTCTGCCACCTCACCCGGGTTCGAGGAAAGCAATATGCATTTTAAGACGCGCCGTTGTAACATATTACAAATGAGAACAGTTGAGGTATCAGGAGATTCACAACAGGCTTTCTCATGACGCTATATGGATCAGGTTGATAACAAAGGTTGAATAATTAACATCGAAATCCAACCAGTATCAAGTTCGACGACTACCGACAATCAGAACCCTGTGACCATCTCCATCAACGCGACATGACAAGTGTCTTCACAGCAAATTGAATGATCTCTGCACGCGTAAGCATGGATACAACTAGGAGTAGGAAGTGACATAGCTGCTAGTCACTGACAATGTAGGGACTCTTTCACTCTCACTACTGGTCACTAGTACTGAAGGTGACCGAGAACGGCTTGCACCCGAGGAGGTAACACTAACGCTAGCACTACGACTAGAGTACCCTGATGAGTCCGTTACTGATACACCACCACTGCTCGAGTCGGTAATCATACTAGAAGTAACAGTAACCGAGCCTCTACCATAACTCTGTCTCGAAGGATAAGACCCCCCGCTGTATGTCACAGATCTACTCGTAGGGCTCGAATAGCTCCCACTGGAAACCTTCGAGCCTGTTCGAGAGCTCCTCCGCGATGCATCTCCTCCGGACGACACTGTAGCCGAGCCGGCAGTATAGCTGTGCTCCGAGTAGGTTCCCATGGCAGTATTGGTCCTAGACGTACTACTATCGTACGTGTACCGAGATACACTACCACTACTACCACTCTGCGTCTCCGGCAGACTCGATCGGCTCACCGAAGACATCGTTGGTTTCCTTATCATGATAATCGGAGGCTCCTCAACCACTTTGGAAACCCTCTGGCTCGAGAGTCGACGCCCACCACCAACCGACGTACTAACTTTACTCGTATTCACTTCACCCTTATGAGACTCCGAAACCATAGAGGCCCTCCGGGATGCTCTCACCAAGGGCCAGGCGGCGAGCACCTCCCCTACCTCCTCCGTGGAGAGCACTCGAATGGCTCCCACCCGACCCAGTACATCTAATACGAGTCTCGGACTTTTAGGCATTGTACCGCCCAACTCCTGACGGAGCGCTTCATGACCATTAACATAGATTGACAACACCCCAGTGGTCCTCTCTACCACTACTGTCACCGAATCTTCAATTTTCAGTTCCCTCGCCCAATCCTTTTTGAATACTTTGTCGGGCCCAACCCACCTGCCAGCCACCGCGACACTGACCAGATCATATCCCACTATAGCAGCCTCCGGTGTGTCTATTGCAGCATTCACTTCCCCTGTGGTCCTACCGCAAACACCAAAGCCCGGGCCCATCGTTTCCGCGGCATCCGCGAGTTTATCAGCTGGCAACAGTCCAGCTATCTCGCATTTCCACACAAGCCTGTCCCCATCCACGTACGGCTTCACCTCGCTGACGGCCCAAGACTGAGCACCATCCCCGCTCAGTTCTACACTACGTAGCACATAACCATCGAACCTCGCCTTTTTACCATGTAACAATGGATCCCACAGGGCCCGGTCTAGCGAGACCACCTGAGCATCTCCTTCCGTCTCCAAGTTCCTAGCCGCCGAGGCTGCCGATAGTGACCCAGGGGACTCTGGGGCCGCACCATCAAGCTTTAGCCCACGCCGAGCTTCCAGAAGAGAGCCGTTGATGTCCTGTGAAGTGTGTCGTACCGTTTCCCTTGTGGGTACCCCAGGCTGACCCGGTAGGACACTAACAACATAGCTACCCGCCGGTTCACTCTTCTTAGTAGCATTGAGTATAGTCTCCCGCCACTTCGCCATGAACGCCGACTCTTCCCTCCCTCCAGTATCCCTCTTCCGCTCAAGAGGCTCCATCACTTTCAGCACTGCATCAGACACTTTCCTCATTGGCTTGATAGTGCTACTACGAGACACCGGCACTACCTCCTCACTGCCCTTCCTCTTCAACTCTGTAGAGGCGGCTGGGTTGCGACCGCTCTTAGCCTTCCGTGTGGACTCCCGAACGACCCTACGAGACACCACCGCTGGTCTTCCCCGCACCGCCTCTCCAAAGACCGGCTCTTCTTCCACCTTCACCACAGGTCTTGAAAGTATCTTCTGCGATGCCGTTACTGCTGCTTTCATTACACCAATCGGTCTCGCTTGTGTAACGACTCGCTCAGGGGATAAGGACCGTGCCATAGAAGGGCTACTACCACTCTTCCCTGGACTCCCTATATTACCCGTAGGGGAATAGGCCCTACTGGACACTGGTGAGGCCCACTCCCTCTGGGCCTCTCCAGGGTTGCGTACGTCCATTCGAGCGGCCGTGAAGACCTTACTCGAGAGAGAGCCCGGCCGATGCAACTTCGACTTGGGGTCCTCGAGAGCCGTGGCGAGACGCCGTACCATCTCTGTGCTACTTCCTGCGTTGGTCGGTCGGATCTCCATAGACATGACTATCTCGCCAGCCCTGTTCTGGTATCTAAAACCCATTTGCATACCACTACAGTGAATGCGCTGTTCCCGTACTTGATGATGTAGAATGCCTCCATCGGGACTTGACCGGCCATCGACAAGTGGCCCAAAACGAAATCCTGGACTCTGATAAAGGAACAAAATGACTGCTCATAGTCAAGTCCCTCCCCCCACTTCTCCCGAGTGACGCTCTTCTCAAATATAGATCGTATAGTGAACACCACCACGGCATGTGAGCCCGACCGAGGCAATGCTGACTGTGGCCTTGTTGGAGTCGGGGAGGGGGAGCGGCGTCTAGGGGGCGACGGAGAGGTGTGGTTGGGCGGGGTCATCCACCTAGCACCAGAGCGATCCCTCAGGAGAGGGGGCTCAACAGGGGCCCTACCGTTTCTGAGGCTGGCCTGCTGGCCGCCATGGTGGCCTATTAGTCGGGGACGTGGCCCGCCTCGGGGACGGAGTAAAGCTAACAGCACGAAAGTCTCAACGTCGTCTCCTCAACCTCTCCCCCTCTACTACTTGAAAACGTTCTTGCCTGCTACCGGCATGCTCCGTCCACGGACGTTAGTGGCCATCTAAGTGACAACTACAGACTTACCGTTGAATCTCTTAGTCTAAGAGCGTCTACAATATCTTGCTCTCTTGCTTTCACTTACATTTCCTTTATTTTGCGATCCGTGGTGCAACTTCCTTTTTCCGTGGTGATGTCAAGCCATGAAGACACTGTAGCGCCCTACGAGTCCACAGGTGCCTCCAATGAGGCATACGAGACGTTCATAGAGCAGTTCATAACTCCAGAGGAGGAAGAGATGAACAGGGAAAGGGTAGTAGTGCAGGGGGGAGGGGCAATGGTCGCGTGGACATTGACAACCTCCTCGGAATCTTTCCAGCTTGACAATAGTTGCTTTAGGCAGGGAAGAACAAGTCCATGCGGGACCTTCTGAGGAGACCAAGAGTGAAGAAGACTTCCACAGAGGCTGGTACCATCGGCAAGGAGGGCGACAACTTTATGGGCGTTTCCACTTCCTCTACCGCCGTCCCCGAGGCCTTCGAGGGCATCGTTGCTAGCTCGAGACCAGCTCCGGCCATGTCACAGGCCCCACCCTGGTGGCCCAAGGGTGGCTACGACCCCAACCTACCTATGCACCTCATGCTTCACGAGGAGCTCGTGGACTACACCAAGTGGGTGGTCCTCAACGACGATGAAGTGAAGGCAAGGGAGGAGTTCGTCGCGAGGATCAATGGGGTCTGCAAGGACCTCTGGCCACAATGTGAACTCAAGGTCTTCGGCAGTTTCCTCTCTGGTCTCAGCCTCCCTAGTGGCGATATCGACCTTTCCCTCCAGAATGTGCCTGTTGGTGCAGTAGAGGCCGTCCGAATGCTCTCCGATAAGCTCCTCAGTCAGGGCCAGCTGAAGGAGTTGGAGCTCCGCGAGACCGCTCGAGTGCCCATTGTCAAACTCGTAGACTTGTTACCTCCACACGTCGAAGTCGACGTCTCCGTACAAGACAACTCCACAGGGGAACCGGATTCCTCTGATACGACCAAATTTGTAATGCAAGAGGGAGTGGAGAAGTACCCGGCCTTTAAGCCCTTGATGATATTCCTCAAGACCTACCTCGCCTCAAGGAAACTCAACCTTACCTTCACTGGAGGAGTCGGCAGCTACTTGGCCGCCTGCTTGGTCATCGCCTTCTTACAGCAACATCCGACCTCGTTCGGCTACTCTCACACAGCTGAGGGGAACGAGAGCCTCGGGCACCTGCTAGTAGACATGTTACAGTGGCTTGGCCGTGACTTACGTTGCGACATGTACGGCCTTTCGGTCACTAACGGTGGGCGAACGTTCAGTAAGGCGGAGCGACGCTTTGACGTAGTGAGCAAGAGGAACCATAGCAACGACATCATCTGCATGGAGAGCCCTCTGGAGCCTTCCTCTGATATTGGCAATAAGTGCTTCCAGTGGAGGACCGTACGAGCGTCCCTATTCCATGCCTCGATGACTTTATGCGACTACGTCCACCACTGGGACCAGAACCGGGGCCGTAGTCTTATACAGCCACTGGTGATGGGCAGAGGCTCGGCCGAGGTGGAGGCGATATTCGAGCGGTACCACGGTGAGGGCCGAGACGAGGAGATATCGGGGGACAAGCCTATGTCTAAGCCGATCAAGGTGGCGATGGACCGGACTACTTCCACTACTATTGAGAAGGAGATAGAGCAGATCCAACACTACACTCCGGCGACCACTGGTAGTCCCTCCTCTCGAGGTAGGGTCAATAAGTCGGCCGACCCGCTGCGAGCGGTCCCGACAGCACCACCGCGGCAACAGACGTCGGTCCACATACCTAGGCCGTTGGAACCGACTGGTCGCACGCAGTATAGGTATCAGCGTAGTGCGCCCTACGATAATTATCAATACCACTCCACGGCCACTTCTCGGAATGACGACGGGCAGCCATCAGGGCCTATTAGGGATGGACGGGCGCGTAATACTTTCGACCTAACGCAGCGAAGAGGAGGGCCACCCCCTCCTCCCCCAGGAAGGCTGTGGGGGTGAGAGGGTCGAGGAGCCGTTACCGTACATTGTAGTCTATTACTGATGATACCATTGAATATAAACTCTTCACTCTACTCTGAGTTCGTCAATCTCTATGGGGCTTACGATAGCACAGTATCATCCTTAGTACGAATACAATGGAACCTGACAGCAACTCTCCAGCTCAAGCCGCCCCTGGGGCCGACCGCGATTGCATCAAAGTGGCAGTAAGGCTGCGACCCTTGCTAGAGGACGAGATCGCTAAAGGTAACCTCTTACGGTAATATTTGCAAGCCACTCGTGACCTTGTTCGTCTCAGGTGTGACTCCAGCGTCGTGGCATACCTCAGGCCGGTCCATATCTCTGCCTATGGTAGAGTGGCGGAGGGCATCACAACGCAACAGTGTGCGAACACTAGAGGCCAACCCCACACCTCCTTGCTCTGTAAGGAAACATGAGAAGACCACGAAATATCAAGTTGAAGCTGACCATGTCTTCACCAACGAGTCTACGGAGGAGGTCTATGAGGCCGTTTTCAAGGACACTGTGTCGAATCTTAAAAGTGGCCTCAACGGGGCTCTGTTGGCCTATGGGCAGACAGGCTCAGGAAAAACCTACTCCATGTTTGGCTCCCGTATAAACGGCCGAAGGACTCGAGGGATCCTTCACTTTGCAGCTGATGACATATTCACGTTCATTGAGGCCGATCCCAGCAGAGAATACCTCGTGAGGATGTCCTATTTGGAGGTCTACAATGAGAGGGTAAACGACCTACTACGGCCCTTTTCTCCGGACAGTCGCAACTTGCCGGTTCGGGAGGACACCAAGGGGTCGCCTGGGGAGTTCTACGTCGAAGGTCTCAAGGAGAAGATAGTCCGTAGCAGCGCTGAGATCGTCTCTGCTTTGGAAAGGGCGGAGGATCGACGTCGAGCGGTGGCAAGCTCTCAGTTCAACGAGATCTCTAGCCGCAGTCACGGTATGTGCTTTATCAAAGTGGAGAGTAGCAAGGGCACTAGCGGCGCCGAGGAGGTGGAGGAACTCACTCGAGTAGGCGTCTTGTGTTTGGTGGACCTGGCGGGTAGTGAGCGGAGCGATGACATCACCAACAGACTGGAGACCTGTAGTATCAACAAGAGCCTCTTCTTCTTGAGGGAGACCATTAATAAGCTCTCCTCATGGAGCCTCGAGAAGGCGACTGCCGCCACCTCGCCGGCCCCTCACATCTCCTGGAGGGACAGCAGACTAACTCAATTACTGGTGCCGTTCCTCTCCCCCTCATCAGGGGCGAGATCAGCGATACTCGTTACGTTGCATCCTGGCTCCCAGAGGTCAGTCATAGAGCACTCAGTGTCTTCCCTACGCTTCGCCACTAGAGCGGCCACTGTGGCAGTATCAGCCGAGCCAATGGTGCACTATGTATCGGCAGAACACAGCATGATCGCTAAGCAACGGGAAATGATAAACGTGTTGCGAGCTCAGGTAGAGCAGTTGAGATCAGCATCTCCTGATAAGAAGATTGAGAGTCTTTCGAGTGGCGTCAACTACGTGTCTGATAGTCGCGACTTGGACAATATCGTTTTGAGGCTCCACCAAGCTGCTAGCAATCTCAAGCGCCGTCAGGGAGCACTGGTGGGCACAGCAGAGCATCTCCTGGCAAGGTTGAACCAGGAGGGAGACGATACCCAGGAGGAAGAGTTCTCACATGACGAGGGGTCACCTTGTGTCGTGTGTAGTACACGCCGGAGGCTGCTGAGTGTAGTTCGCCGAAAGTCCCAGCAGAGCGCTCCTAGGAGGGGACCGCGAGGACCACTGAGGGGGGACGATGTTAGTCAGCTGCTCTCGGATATAGACTTCCAGAATCGCCGCCAGAACAACAGTCCTAGCGAGACCACAGCAGACGTCTCGGATGACTCGGGCGTGGCCACTGCGGTTTCTGAGACCAGCCCCCACACGCCAGAGCGTGTCGCGGTCAACAGTAGAGTCGAGGTGACGATCCTGAGACAACAGTTGAGGCAGGCAAAGTACGAGGCCGCTGAGGCCAAGAAGGAAATCCAGCGGCTCCAAGACCAAGCCAATGCGGAAGCACTATTGATTGAGAGCTCGTCTCTGGCAGCACCGCAATCGTCTCCACGTGAGTACTTTACCAACTACGGCGTGATCCGCATGCCAGTGATGCGGCTCGGCGAGATGATGCCTACAAATTCCCCATGACCTTAGCGCTAATGTGCTCACCTGTTGTTGAACTAGAACGGATCGCGTTGGGCGGCGCTACGTGGGTCGCTGGAAGGGCGTGTTGGTGTCTATTTGGTATTCTGTTCGTTGTCATGCTATCACCCCGAAGTCTCGCCAGGGAGATTTATACAAGGCAGATGCAAGGGAGTGGTCTTCTAGGTTCTTGTAGAGATCTCACTCAACCGCAGCCTACAGTAGTTCAGAAGAAGACAGAGAGTCCCGCGCCCCTTCCAAGGTGAGATGAGCGACAGACCGTCATCGTGTGGGTACGTGTTCATTGCGATCAGATATGAAGACGACCAGCCAGCGGGGTTGACCAAGCGGCGAGCAGACTGTGATGGGATGTCGAGTATCATGGACCACACTGTCGCCCAAGAGGCATCTCCAATCGTGTCGGTACCATCACCCTTCAAGAAATTCATGCTGTCTGAACATGAACCTCCTCGAAGAGGGAAAAGCCATGTTGGTCCCGACAGCGCACGGGTGGAATTTGAGAAAATGAAGAAGCTGACGAAGCCTGTGAGGGTGTCAGTGAAGGACATGACTAATATCGGCGAGGGTCGCGGCACTCCCACGAGGCCTTTGCGGAAGATGATGTTTCGGCCCCACGAATCGCCTGTAACACAGCTGGGCTTGTCGCCTAGAGGGAGTCGTCTACGTGGTGAGGAAGCTCTCAGTATCGCTGACCGGGCGAGAGCGTCACAAATCATCAACCCGAGTGATTCAAGAATCGTCCTCAGCCTCCGAACGCCAGTGGGAGGGCCCGAGGCTTGGGCCAATGCTCAGAAGATACGAACATCTCGAGTCTTCGACAATGATACGGACGAGGCTGAGTTGATTGCCAAGGTTGGTAAGCGGACTTCTGCCAACTACACCAACGGCGTTCTGGGGAGCAGTCGAGCTATGGCTAGCGCTCTCGGTGGCATACGAGACAGAGATAGCATCTCAGTGCAGCGAATGCCCTCCCCTGAACGAAAGGCAGGCAAGCGTATCGTCCGAGCGCCTCTTGGCCTTGGACAGGTCAGAGTGGTTCAACCGATCGTGCCGTTGCGGCGTAGGGAGTTCCCCAACCGCAGTTGGAGCTCTAGTAATCCACGCGTTATCGGGGCTACTCCCAAACGAGAATCCTGGACTTGGTCCATGAAGCCTCGTTCTCCTCCTAGACCTATATCGAGTAATTAAGACTATCGCCTCCATCACTATTTCCCATTGTATGTGCTACCCTGATGTGTTGTTCGATATCGTTGACTCGTGTTCGATATGAGTGGTCAACACAATACTGACATTAAGTCACTCAGCAAACTTGATACATTGGGTCTCTTGGTGAATATCGTGACAACGTTTGGAGCAATACAAAGTACCACATCTAACACACTGGTATTTGGCTAGAAAGAGGCATACGCTGCAGATCTTCACTGAAGGGTATCGAGATTCCTCAACCTCGCAGTTTTCAAATGTGTCCACAGGATTGGCTGAAATGAACTGTGAGCTGCATTGAGCTATTCTGCTTACGATTTTTTTCGGCCTCCGCTCGGTCCTCGATGAGAATCATCTCCAGTGTCCTCCGCTCACGTTTGGTCCCAATAACGGAGTGTTCTGACAGGGAGGATCCACGAGCATGTCAATAGGCAACCTGGGAACCTCGTCCGGATTGTGGCACATCGCTGTCATCACTCGGGTCTCCAATGTCGTCAGCAGCGTCGTACGTGTCCACTGCCCCCGAGGCCTGGTCACGCTCCAGTGCCAGTAGCCGGGACTCAGCAACCTGAGCATACGAGTGCGAAGCCATTGTGTGACCAACGCACTTGACGCCGCGTTTCATCATCCACCCGCTTCATGGCTCCTCCTATACGTCTCGCCCGCTCGCTCCGCCTGGCGGCAGAGCAAGCAACCTCGACGAACATGCTGAACACAACTGCCAGGCGGTCTTGTAACCCGAAACAAGAAGCCTTCTATGTCATTACCGCGCGCCACATAATTCAACATCGATACGAGTCAGGCGATGCACTACATTTACAGAACAATTGTCAGTGGTTCAAGGTATTTACTCCTTGGCAAGGCGCTTAGAATAGGTAAAGACAGCACGCATGAATGCGACTCCCTCAGAGTTTCCAGCTTTGCATTCAGCCGTATCTGGACTTCCCCACGGCGTTGCGTCAGAATGTCGAATCACCGGCTGGACTGATCGCTCTACGGCCATCTGAAGAACCATGACTATCTAGACATACCAATAGGATACCCTGCCTGTCGTTTCAATGCCTCACTGTACCTGACACGCTGCTGCCCCCGAACATTCGACCGTCTGCTTCTGCGCAGATCGGCCCTCGGCCCACTCTCCTCTGAGAGCCTGATTGAGATGCTGACCCGCACATTCCGCTGGGATTCACATCTACTCAGTGTCACAGCACGCCCCTTGGTCCAACCCTTCCCTTTTTCGTTTTCTGCTACGCTGGCCGTGAGATTCGGAGGTAGGTGACGGACATTCTCTAGACATTACGTGGCCTCTCCCAAAATCCATCCACTCATCAACGCAAGACGACAACAATGCATAATGCAGCATCGCAGCCTAATACACGCAGGACATGGCAACCATCCGACAGTGCGGGCAGGCTTCCTGATGGAAGGATCCCGGGCAAGTTAGACATCATGCGGCCATATGCGAGTAGTGATGCAAGAGTCAGATTCTCGTCAACTACACTCTTAGGTATACCCTTTAGAAGCTCCTTATCGTACGGCTTATGCGATGTCGTTGATAAGAACCGTACACTGCCCACTGGATTCGGCCAAGTACTGAGTGAACTAACCTGAGCAACTTCGTCGAAGACCACGTGCAATGCGAGGCCTATCTCACTGGAACGAATGCCCGAATCAATAGAGTCGTTGCAGCTCGGGAGGAACAACAATCGGCTGCTGCTGTGGAAATACAAGGTAATGTCACTGCCTCAAACATCTTGAAATAGCATTGAATGGAACTGAGATCTGATCATTCACGCTACGGGCTCCCATCCATAGGAAATCTCCATCGGTTGTAAGAGCCCAAGAAATAGTCATTCAAACTGTCAAAACGCACTCAAAACGATTCGTCCTTATCCAGTTGGTCAGATCTACTTCACCTGATGCCAATTGCCAGCAACATGAATGAACACAAGACAAATGTGAAGCCAAAAAAGTAACGTACGATTGCTGTTCACATCAACTTGGGATCACCTGACACCCTTCCACTCAATTCAAATGAATAAGAGTACCGAGAGGAGCTCGGACAGGTGGCTTCTGAAGAGGAATAACTCCATTGGGACACGACAACGACTTAGATCTTCGGACTGCTATTCAGTCCGCACAGCTCAGCGAATTTTCGTGAAAAAAAAACTATCGACTGAATTTTCCCTAGAAGCACTGTAATATAAATATGTGCTTCAACAATGTAATCCTGACGCCCTCCAGACTCACATAATTATCATCCGAATTTTGCAGGTTACCGTCACCAACCGCCGTAGCATCCAAGTAGTCCTCTCCTCGCAGTATTTTCTCATCTTCCTCCCACCTCTGTCTGTTCTCTCGGATACGTTCACCACGCATACTGTCATACCTAACAGTAGTAACATTGTTGTAGCCCAAGCTGACCAGAACGACCCCGAGGGGCCCAGGAATCCATACCTCTTCCTGCACTGCCGCAGCTCTTCGTTGTGATGAGCCATCCAGCTTGCTACAGTAACACCATCATCCAGGTCCGTTGGTGTCGTCAAACTCGGACTATTACGGCTATATCCACGAGAATCGCCTAAACCAGAAAATCACCGAGAGCAGCTCACGGTGAATCCGTGTGGGAAAATACGCATATGGTGAACTACTATATTGTTGACAATATGAAAATTTTGGGAAACTTATGTTGATTTCTTTACACTTCTACCCGCATTCACGTGTAAGCTTCCATAACTAGTGAGGAAACTCCCGAGCTCAGCTGAGGAAAGCAACCATAAATTCCAACACAGCTAGAGGCTGCGTATTCAAGACTACATCCTACCGCTTACATCCTGATACATAAACCTCCGCGGTATCGATCTGTTGAATGTACTTCTTCTCAACCTTATCACACGGTACGGTCAAGTACAGCTGACAACAGAGCGGTCAAAACTACAACAGCGTTCGCCCTAGCATTGAATCACCGACGACTACCTACCATGTAGATCAACCAAAGCCTAGAGGCCGCATAGTGCAGCTGAGAGTACCGCAGGAATGGTCGCCTATCCCAATTACTCATCTCTTCAGCCACGCACAATCGTACTGAAAATAGCCCGCGTACTACTACCACACTGCTACTGCAGCATCTTACTTCCGGCGAGATTCTCCCGTACTTCCACATGCAGAGGGTTCGGGTAGCCAGCACTGACGTCAAAGAGAGGCTGGATGACCACACCGTCCTCCCGCACATCATCGCTGAACTTATCCTCCACCAAAACATGCTGCAGTACGACGAACTTCGCGTAGTTAGCCGCGTTAATGCCGTAAACAACTTTGAGGATATTTGGATGACAGAGAACCGAGGTGAGGAACTGCCTTATAGCCTTCGGACCCTCTGCACCGTTGAAGGACTGATCTGTACTGATGATACGATTCACCATTATCAAAAACCTGTTACACAGAACAACAATATCAAAGCCCCAAAGGGCTACAGCGACCCTACACTTTTGTTGAAGTAGCAATCCCTATAATAGCCGGCGCCGGTCGCTCCAGGAAGAGGGAGATGTCACAACGGAAAAATACATCAAAAGCGATAGAACGGTATGGTGACTGAGACTAGACAATACCGCTACACCGAGGGCTACACAGGGCAATACCTCTCCAGGTTGGAATGTGGTGAGAATCTCCTCCAACTCCCTGAGCCTGTGGATGCTCTCAATCATATGCACAGCATAGGCATCGGGAGAGGACAGATCATCCATGTCTACTCCTGAAAGATATCGACCAGCGTAAAGTCGTGACTCCCCCGTTCAACAATGCAGTTGTAACAGGGTAACAAGAACGTACACGATGTATTCGCACATAGAGGCGTCAAGACGTAACACATATACTACAGTACAATACGTACTGTTACTATCACTATAACATAGCCCGGCTATACTGTATATACTACGATGATAAACACCTTCAACGAGGCGATTCAAAGACCGGCACACTAGCCTGACTATGTCATTATTATTACCTGGAGGATCGATGTACATAGGAAGCCAGAAGTACTTGTCATTGGTCTCATCACACTCCTCACTCAATGGGCCGAACACGTCCTGATAGTTACCTGGATCTCCACAGCCGTACTTCATAATGGAGAGGTAGTACTCAAGTGCCTACTAAGGCAATCACGTAACCACGCTGAGAATCGACTACTCACAGGATTCTCGCCAACATCCCTCCCCACAGCACGGCGCAGCTCTGAGTTTGCCAGGAGCAGCTGAGCTTGCGACGCCGCATCCCCCATATGACCGTACTTATTAAATGCCCCCCGTAGTAGCTTCTCATCGTCACCTACGAGTGCTACCCTCAGCACACTACCGGTCAGTAGCCTCACCGAAGAAGTCTATGATATCATCAGCGGTCATGTTAAAGGAGGCGATCATGTCCAGCATCCACCCTCTCCGCAACTTGGAATAAAACTGGTCAACATCGTCCGTACGGAACTCCGAGGGATCATCAGGACTCGACATCTCCGTAATGTCGAAGTTGAACTGAGAGTGAACACTAGCAACAGCGCCGGACCTCTCTTGTCCACAGTCCAGAAAAGGTCCACATTTCCTCCACACTCATTAATGCTATTCGAAACCAACACCATTGGCCCGAAGAGCTCCCCTCGAAGACCATCAGCATAGACATAAGAGGCAAAACATAAGCCTACCGCAATGCATGCTTGTTCCACATCCTTCTGCGAAGGCTCTATAGCATTACTCCTATCCTTACCACTCACTGCTCCCTTCTTCCTGCTATTGTGTTCAAACCTATCCACCATCAACTTGCCACCATCGATGAGGCAGTAAACTCACATATGTTGTTTAATTAGGTATAGGACACAGCGCTTCTGAAAGGCTGAGCCGTGCTCCACCCGCTTTAGAAGTGGCATCAACGAAGTCCTCAGACGGCTCCAGGAGTCTCCCTTCTTACCAAAACGATGAACAAAATCGATCTCGGGCACGATGCACCTGATAGGCAGAGGCATCCACCCAAAAGCCGAGCCTCCACATCGACCCACCAGGCACCGAGCTCATTGATGACCTTCACAAAGGAGTCGCCATCGAGATTAGACTGGCTCGATGATGACACCTCGTTCTGGTCTGACTTGAGAACCTATTAGCATACGGTTACAGTCGGTCAAGACCATATAAATACTCCTTATACCACATCTGCTACAACTAGCAGTATCACGGATAGTTGTAACATAGGCGGTAAGATGAGTATAACTGATGAAGTGATTATCCATCATAGGCTTATATCAGTGTAAGTCGTCAAACTTCGAAAGTGAGTAAATTTAAATCGCCATTGCCGTATAATTTTAAAACATACGAACATCGCTACATTAAGAAAAGTCCATAACCCTAGTAAAGTGATAACTCTTTTGAGGACCCATAGAATGCCCAACACTGAGTTCCGCAACCCAATGGCAACCCGACTAATCACAACGAGTATTAAAGTCAATTATTACCATTTTGATTCTCTCATGTATCGGAGTCTTCTCCTTCAGCACCTCAGGGGAGTAATCTGCCGCCAGAGCAGAGGCCTCCTCCTGTACTGTTATCTTCATGTTAGTAACCATTCTATCACCATACCTACACCAAGTACCATCCTTCCATGTAACAACACCGCCTTACGCATGCAGGACTATCGTCCAGAGTCGCAAGTCTATAGCATACCATCGCTTGAGGACACCACAGCCCTCGATGAAGCGATGGAACCTGCCGGCCATCAACTATCAGCCCAGAAATTTATCCCCTTTTTCCTACGCCCTCGTATTTTTGAGGCTCTTCTTGACATCCCTGATACCCTCGTACTGACCTGACCATCATCACCCTACGTCAGCAAGATGCATTGGAGCACACCTACCAAACTTCCCCTGGATGTAACCTCGTACAACAGCCAATAGAGAGTTGGCGATGTAAAAGGGATTCTCCCAGTCTACCGTCAACATGGCCAGAGTATTCGGAATTCTCAAAACCATGCCTCTAATCTGACCATAACAACAATGATGCCAACGCTGAACTCCGACGAGGGGCACTCAGCTTACTCTCTCGAGGACCTCATCATTTTGCTGTCCCCCGTTGGAGGCTATCGCACAGGCCGTCTCCTCTGCCCGACGAATAAGCTGACGACTCTGCTCCTTCTGGTAACTGTCGAGTTCCCTCTCCTCCTTGCCGCCCACAATAAACTGTATTCCCCGCACATACCTATACCATACCAAAGTCACTAATTTGCCAGAAGGATGGTATATAGGAAAATGCCTACGCATCATAGTCACCAATGGCGAGCTTGTCGATGCAGCTGTCGACCGTGACCTCCTCCCCTTCAATAGCCGACGACATACAGGCGACCGACACACGACTACTAGAGGGAGATGAACCACGTCCAAGCTCAACAGGAGATGTATAGAGAGAAACCATTCATTAAGGAGGCAATAAAACTCGAGGTAGAAGTTACCACCGCGGTATTGGTCGTCGTGGAGGTTCGAGGTCCAACACGGCGGTCGGGACCCAACCCACGATGCCGTCCTTATTCACCAGAGTCCAACCGCAGTTATCCTCGTCCAGCTCCGTGAGTAGGACCTCATCACCGACCCCCACGGCTAGCTAACATCACCGATGAGCCCTCATATAAGGCGATCCTTTCTTCCAATGATAATCATAAACGATCCATGACGCTTAAGCTCAACACTGCAGAGCTAATTGGGCATGGGAGTGTGCATGAACTAATTGTCAACATTTTCCCATGCTATTGCGACGTGCGGAAAACAGAGATAAGATTTGCTCCTCGCCAAGCCTACCTGATTGTCATGCTCTCCAAGGTCTGGAGTGTAGGAGCTCTTGACCGTCACTGGATGGCCCACCCCTGGCCTCGATCCTGGTCCCTCCGTCCTCTCCGGGCACTGATCATTGCAATTCTCCGCATGCTGCTGTAACGAATCTAGTTCGGCTACGTCTCACACTTCTCAACAGATAGTCCTACCCTCATCTGGGAACTTGGCATGACACATCGGGCAGCAGCCATCCGGTACAGAGTCGGCCTGCCGGCCATCTTCCCATTGTTGGATCTACAAAAAGAAACATAGCCCCCCTTCGGTATATACCACTCCTTCCGCAACTAGCCCCACATTCAACGATGCACCAAGATGCTCTACTACCAATAGCTCGACCGCTTGCCAACGATAGTCTATCAGTACGCCCATTCCTATTACACTCCGCATGGCTTCCACATGAGGACTGCATAGAGACGATACAGAGTCCACCAGGGGAGGTCCCATCGACCTTGGCGGACTGGGTGGTCCAGGAAGCACGTCTCGATCATCTGGCGTGAGAACCTGGCACAGATACACTTCGCATATCCCTATCACTGAGGTCATGTGGATAACAAGACTACCAACTACAGGAAGGTCCACCCTTCCGCACTCACCGGTGTTGTTGTATTATACCTCTGACCATGGTCAGACGAGCTCGCTGACTTCCTATCGAAACTTATTAAGTCATCCTGTGCCGACCTCCAAGGGGCAGGGCGATCGAGGCCCTCGAGGCCCCAGAGCATCCTAGGATGCGGTTCCACCACAGGTGCATACTCCAAATGGTAGGTACGGGTAACCACGCTTTGCAACGCAGTGATGCTCCTTATACAAAACAAGTGCAGCTAACATAGCACCAGCGAGTCCCCTTCCCTTACTCTTGTCGACTCTCGTCCAACCGTAGACGTTCCTGCTGCCGCTCGGCCCTCAACGCCCTGAGCTCCTTCACGGACATCTTCCCAACATCCCCCTTCGTTATGCTAAGACCCATCAGCAAGTCAATCTCTCAGCCAGTGGATCGCCCCTCACCCCCTGTACGGATTCTCTATTGGAAGGTCAAAGGGGATTGAGACCACCTGCTCGGCATCATCCAGGAACACAATCCTATGTAGCAACAACATGATTCCAGACCACTGACTACCACTCCTACTACCACCTCCGTTCAGTAGCCTCGAACCAGAACTTGGGCATTTCTCGATGACCCAAGACAGCCCGAACATACCACGGAGCCTACACAGACCTCCACGGCTCTCTGGCCAGTGCCCTCTCCCCCTACTGATCTTGACTTGGTGAATCTATCCCGACTCTCCCGCACTTGCTGGATGTCATCTCGATAGGTCCGCCCTTCATGGGCCCACCGCACGGACCCATCCCCAGGGCATTGCGTATCATAACGAGACTCAGCTGGAAGGCGGTCACGGTCACTCCAGCGGCGGGGCTCGACCCAGTGGGGCTCCTAATCAATAGAAGTGCTCAGCCGGACGACGTCCACCACACATTGCCACCTCGCGTGCATGATGCATCCGTTCCCTTCTATAACCGTCAGAGTGCTGATGAGACTCCGGCCTCGCAGGTGGCACAGCCTAACCACGCCTCTCCACCAGGCCTGCCATCATCACACCACCTCACCCTCCTCGTGGGGTCATCAACCAAGTCCTCAGAGTAGTAGTACGCCCCATCATGCTGCTGCCTCGACTCATTATCGCGCATCTTCCTCAAACTCTCATCAACTACAGCCGAATGGTAGACTCACTTGACTGAGGGTTCGACAAAGGTCAGGTCCAAAGTCTTCCCTTCTCGAGGCACGCAGACCACCACCACCACGTTGAGATCTCCACTCTAAACACCGTACACTCCTTGTAAAACAGCCTGCAGCGTCATGAGCCCACCGGAATCCTCCCAAAGTGCCCCTTCCTGCCCTCTCGAGTGGCCATCATAGCCAACATAGGGAACCCTAAACAGGAGCAAACTTGGACAATACCCTCAAAGCCTGAAACACATACCTGTGGACATCATTATAAATTTGAGATTGTTGTTTTTGTTGGTGATATTCCCCTGCATAGTGAGCCTGCTCTCTGCTGCCTTGGACTGGCTAAAGCCCCACACCATCACCCCCTTCTGAATAACCTCACCCTACCGGCTGCTCTTGCCCTCGATTCATACCCGCCCCCACCATATGTTCATATCCTATTATAAGAGGCCTTGGCTCCTGCGAAGGAGCCTAATCCATACCACACCTTTCCCACATCATCACAAACTTAGCACCTGCTGCGCCACCTGACCTTGCTCTTGTCCATACCCTTGACCATCAGGATGCTGCATGACCCCCCGCAGAGGGGCCATGCCAACATGCCCAGTAAGAGGCGGCCGAACATCCTCTTGATACCCACGACCCTCAGGCTGTACACGAGTAGCCCACTCCAACCCGCAAGCCAAGTGCCATTACCTGCCCTCTAGGGTACTGATCGGGGTAAGTATCCTCATACCCTTCCGGTTGCTGATGCTGCTGCGGACTATCACCCTCCACATGTCGCTCCTGATCCAAGACGTAAGTCAGGCGGTAGTCCTGATTTGCATCACCCTGGTCAACCCTTCCTCCGGAGCAACAACAGCATTCAGCATCGAATCTCGCCCTCCGTTCCTTTGCTGTTGCAACTGCGGACGATAGCTCCCTCTATAATGAAGTCCCTACCTTATGCTGGAGCATGGTCCACTCCTGTTTTAGATGTTCCAGACTGGGCTGTTGATCCAGTGCCAGGCCGTTACCAGCCAACAGCTCTTTTCCTATACCTGTTGGAGCCCGCCAATGAGGCTATGAACGTCCGAAGCTACACTACCTTGTGTATAGGGAGCGCACGCCTGAGCTTGTTGCTGGCCCGAAGCCTTACCATGCGAGGAGGTGCCCTGGTCTTGGAACATAGGTAGGAGATCCGTCGCATTACCACGGGTCCTGATAGACAATGGATGCCAACCTCAACACTGCTTTCCTGCGCACCTCTCCTCCGGATGCCCATCACCCAGGTTCAAATCCTCCCGGCAGGACCCCTTGCCCTTACCGCCCTTATACGCCCCTTTGCCATCATCAAACGTGCCTCTACTTCCTTTATCATCCCCTCCCTCGCCACAGTTCTCACGCCTCCCTTTCCATTCACTATAGCCGTTAATTATGGGACTAGGGGCTGAGCCCTTGGGGGCCACAGGGACAGAGTTGCCACCCCTGGAAGAGAAAACCACCATTGCAAGGCAATCAACTGTGAATGCACACAGTCGGCACCTTCCCCTCCAAGTGCTCGGTCCACTAGGAGAGGATTGTTGGACCGATGGGGTCGTCGTCGGCATCTTGGGACTAACACGATGAGCAACACGTGTGGTATGTGTTCCGAGCACGACCTTACAATAGCAAGCAGTTTCTAGTTACAAAAATCAAACATCCGCGCAAATCGTCGAGAAGAAAACCGTCTCAGCATCAGTCTAATCCACCGCATTAGAAAATTTCTCACTACAACGTCATGGTATATACCATAAACCAGAAGAAATTTGAACACTTGATTTTCCCCAGATGCTACCCGTGACGTCAGTACTACCACTAACGACCACCCCGATTGAGCGTACATGTTGTGGTTATACTGGCAGGCCATCCATTGGGAACAGTGTCCGGTCTCTCTAAGCTCCGGACATATCACACGAGACCGATGGATACTCGGTGCTGCCATGGCAAAAACTGATTACCCCATTAAACGAGAACTTGAACCCAACACATTCATGATCAACCTGTGCAAAGCACCACACCCTTCCCATGCCCCACATCACTCTACTATCACAGCAACTACGCCTAAGAGCTGGGCCTCAACCAGATAGGACCGCCACTGCTATTCGAGAAGCGTATGTCTATGATGCTCCCAAAGACTAGGGAAATGATGGCCGACAGCTTCACTAGAATATTCAGGCTAGGCCCCGAGGTGTCTTTCAGTGGATCCCCTACAGTGTCGCCTGTCACAGCGTGCTTATGTGCAGCGCTGCCTTTGCCGTGTTCAGGGCCGAGACCACCGGACTCGATAAACCTGCCCAAGACGTAAAACAACCCAGGATGTGCGTCCCTACTTCTTAGCATTGTCCCATGCCCCGCCAGTATTGGACATAGAGATGGCCATCTGCACTCCAGAACTGAGCGCCCCAACGAGAAGGCCAGCAGTAGCATTCTTCCCACACAGTATACCAAACACCAGAGGAGATAAGATCACCAATGCCCCGGGTAAGATCATCTCCTTCAGGCTGGCCGAAGTTGAGATTGATATACAGCGTGTGTAACTGACAAGCACAGCAGCGTTGGCTTCATCCTCTTCCCCATAGAGGGGCCAATGACATCCTCAACCCCATGACCAATGGGAAAAGTGTATACCATGGTCACCTTGAAAGCAGTGTGAGGAAATATGCACATGGCCAACTACATGCGTCGGTGACAATATGAAAATTTTGAGGGAATTCCGGTTGGTTCCTGTATACTTCTACCAGAATTCGCAAGCAAACTTTTGTAATTAGTGGAGAAACTCCCGAGCTCAGCTGCGAAAGTGCGACCGTATATTCCAATACAGCCTCCAACAGCACTCTAACCTACTCAGGGGGTGCCTCGCCGTTGATGATCTTAGGGAACTGCCTCATACACTCGTCCACCATGTCCGTAGCGGCCTTCCCCACGGACTTCATAGTCAGCGCCGAGAAGGCATACGGCATCATAGCGCCGTACAATATCCCAGCAAAGGTCCACGCATTCAATACATTAACCTACATACCACTCCTTTTCCACATCACGGTTAAGACCCCCCACCTTGTCAATATTAGCCCTAGTGCAGAAGGCGCCGAACAAGGCCAATGCCACCAAGGCCGCGCCCCCTATCGCAAACCCCTTACCTACTGCAGCTGTGGTATTGCCAGCAGCATCCAAGGCGTCTGTCCGTCGCCTGTTCAGTACACTGGCCATCCTCAAAGGCACCAACGCCTTCCTACCTGATAGATGGGCCGAGATTAGACATCTCAGCTATCCCTCCAGCATTGTCAGCTATTGGGCCGTAGGCATCTATTGCCAGCCCTACACATAATGTAGAAAGCATACCTAAGCAGAGGCAACAGTAGAGAGTGAGTAGTCACGGCAGTCCTCACCTAGGGCAGCCAAGGCGATCCCGTACATACCACAGAACTCATGTGACACCAGTATGGTGACACTGAGGGCCAGGACGGGCACGATAGTAGAGAGGTAACTAAGACGTGTTCCCAATACAGCAGCCGTGTCACCATGCAACGTATCACCCCAGAGCCAGGCCGTATATGATGCCAGTAGCGGCAGAGGTCCTTTGACTGCGAGCTATGTCCCTCACTGGGCCGTAGCTATGACTCGTGAAGTACCTATGATAGCATGTGGCTTCCTGATACCACACCATGCCTACTCTGTGACCAACCCCACGAGGAGACCCGACCATAGGCCCATTATAACCGATACCATACAGGCGTACCTTACAAGGATAGTCATGCCTGGATAAAGAGGATACCCCCTCCCCACTACTACCATTGGACCATCTTCCCTGCATCTTCCTCCTTAAGACTCCGAGGCAGCAAAGGAGACCGAATACCAACCATGAACTCTTGTGGTAAACACACGTAGGAGAGACCAACAATAGCTGGTGTCATCAACAAGGTCGAGACGAACAGTAAGGCCCTGATCACACCTAACCCAATGTCCACCCAAGAACCCTTCGCTACTACTTCAATGACCGTTCAATGCATTCAATGTCCTTAACAGGCGTGATAAGAGGGACCATTAGTACTGTTATCCAGCTCACAAATATACCTAGTATGATACCATTATCACAGGAAGCAGAGCTATACAGTAGTCTCACCCAAGGAGGAGATTAGCAACGGGTACATTATCGGGGCTTCGTAGATATCAAGATGAGATAATGTAGAACTGAAACAACCCCTTTTAAAGGCCGTCTTGTAAGATTTACGCACTTCCCAATCAGTACGAAAGCAGCACATGTCGCCTCAGCGAAGGAGCCGAACAAGTCAGCGCCCATGCCGGCGATATCGCCAACGTTGTCACCTGTAAACAGAGCAGGGCCCTACGGGACAATAAGACTCCTACTAAACCTACCAACATTATCTGCGATACATGCCGGGTTGCGCGGGTCGTCCTCGTCCATACCATACTCATTTTTCCCTACCATAACACGAGCACATTATTCCTATGCTCGAAAAGCAGTAGTACCGCTTAGATCCGCCCCGACATCCGCTGCCTTAGTATAGATACCTCCGCCGACTCGAGCGAAGAGGGCTATAGAGGAGCCTCCTAAACCGTACCTTACCCCAATAAGGAAGTACCCCAGTTGACCACGAGAAACAACAATAGCATTGCAACTACCCAGCAAGGGCCTCAAATAGTATGCTCGGTCCGTCATAGCTGTTCCCTGAATTCTCAAACTTCATTACCGTATTAAGCAGTGCAATAAGGGCGAAAACAGTGAGTACCCCAAGACTGAAAAAACAGCGTGGACCACGTCTAGGTGTTGGCCCTATTACCTCACTAGGGTGAAGCCCATCACTGACCCTCCTCGTATAGCTACCTCATAGCCCTTTCGCAGGCTCTTCCAACATTCATGAGCAGTACGGACCTTTAGGAGACTGCAAGGAAGGTGGGTCTAGTATAAGGACTACTTACGTTGCAGAAGACTGCGGTCCGCATGCCTATGAAGCCCGCGAGGCAGCTAGTTATGGCGCCGACCAAAAAGGACAGAGCCGCGAACCAGCTGGTGATAACTCCAATAACGATACCAAATACTATAACGTAGACAAAAAGGTACCTGGTTGAAAATTCCAAGGCGGAGCGAAGCTAGTGCCGGCCTACTTGTACTCCTCTATTAGGAAGGCAGTGGCTCCGTCGGCAATATGAGCACTAACTTCCCTCATCATCTTGAGGGACTTATCAACGGCATTGGACTTCCCCAGTAAAGGCGAGTCCCTGATAGGCACCTCCCCGTATAGTCCCCGGATTGGCCCATGGCACTACCCGTCCGTTGAGGCCCCCGAGTCCATAGCAGATTCAGAGGAGTAGTTAACGCCGCTACCATCAATAGGCAACTTGTATAATCGTGTTATCTGATAATGACTCAGTTCTGATACTCTAATAGTGAGCTAATGCACCTCTATGATGCCCCAGGACAGGCCAAGGCAAGAGGGTGCTACGACGAGGAGGATGACGCCCCAAAGGGGCATCAAGTAGGATCCAGGCTCTACATTCAGACCCGGGATAACCTGTGAAAATGTGAGCGTCACGCGCCACGAAATTACCAAACCATTAGTACATCTCCAATGGTGGGGCCTCTAGTGGAGGGATCGGCCTTCACCCCCGTCTTGGTCCCCTCCGCGATGGCAAGTATCTGCGGAATACACTGAGATAGGCTCCGGGCTCTTTGGGAGGGCTCACTTGAAGAGAGAGAATGAGTCTAATGATATCGATCACTTTAGACCAAGAACTGTCATGCATTCCCAAAAGATGGCTGCCAACAGTGAGTTCATTCTGTATGGGTCGCCGCCGCCAGCCGAGCAAAACCCAAGTCGCGCTTAGTCGTGGGCGCGCGCTATATTAAGTATTTTAGCGCGCGCCACGTGATTCACTTATGGTCACCGCTTGGGGCACGAATAGCATGTCGATACTGTTATGGGTCATTGCAGATGAAAGCGCACTGGCTTGAACGAACCATCCTGTGAACTCAGTCGAACTCAACTGATAGTAAATGCTGCGGTCCTGGGCCGCATGGAAAGCTATTTAAGACATACATGTTTTCACTAGAATTACGGCGGTCCATATTAGTTGTTGCCATGCCTACTGCTCCTCCTGCTAAGCAGACTAAGGAGCTCACAAAGGCGGATATAGACACTATAGTGGCGAAGGGCGACCTCCGAGCCGCCAGACGGTAAGACACCCGCGTGTCCGTTGCGGTACGATGCCTGACCATTTAGGCTTCTTGCTATCGAAGGCGATGTGCCCTTATCTACAGTGGCCACTAGGCTCAAGGCGGCTCTGAGGACATGTTGTGTGTATAAAGTGAAGGCTGGTGGGCTGGTCTATACTAAACACAGCAGTGACGCCTCCTTGGACCAGTACTGGAAGGCCCTGCAGTCTATGCTGGAACAGCTGCTACAGTCGCAGTCCGAACAGGCCATCACGCTGGGCACCCGACTCATGGTGGAAGCCATCAAGTCGGAGCGCGATATAGCACAGAGCTTCCCTACGGAGCTTTTACAGTCAACTCTACTGTCAATTATCGTTAACGTCTATGACCCCGACTATGCCGCTGCTGTCTTCATTGGGGAGCTCGCCAACACTCACTGGGATGTCTACACTCGAGTACTGTCCTACCTGAGGTTGGTATGCACCGCATTGGCTGGAGTCGAGACTAGCAATACTCGACCTGTAATAGCAGCAGTGGAGGCCTCTGGTGTGGACCAGGAGGAGATTCTAGAGAGGATCTATACGCTGTTGGAGGCCTATGCCCCTCCATCCAAAGGCATATGCCAGACCGAGCCTCTCGATACGGTGGGCAAGGCGGCCTGCAAGGGTGTTGTCAGCTTACGGAAGGCGTTCCAGGAGGCGTGGTAGTAGAATGAGATAAATCAATAGGTGGGAGTTTGTGTTTGTATAGGTTGGCATTCCTCCGTTTGGACCTGTCATCGGACCTCATGCGTTTGGTCCTACGTCACTTGCCTAGTAATGTGCTCCCTTACTTACCTTCACCGCAGTACTTGGGTGACTTCTACTTCAAGGTAGGTCGGCGAGATGGATGCCTGGCCTAGGAGTCCTTCAGGCCTTCGATGGCAGCGACACTACAGAGGATACCACCAACAGTGTGCTGGCCCTAAGTGGTTTGTTCTACCTCCTCACCCAAGCTAATATTGGAGATCCATCGTAGTGTTGGGAACTTCGAACTCTCTCTCCCTGTTAAACCCGAATACTAGCTCGCTGGGGCTCAAGTGGCATCTCCAACTCGTCTCGTTTAGTGAGTATACTGCTCCTCAATGTATGAAATGTTTTTGGCAATTACGATGGGGTATTATGATACGAGTATGACATGTTGGGGAGTTGCTATCGTAGGTACATAGACAATAGTCTATCAGCCTTCTACTCGCGACTCTACGCCCTGCTCACGCCAGCTACACTCGTCTTACCGTACCGCCATCGTTTCCTTCGACTGCTGCTCTTGGCTTTAAAGTCGCCCATGCTACCCGGAAGCAGTGTTGCTGCTTTTGCTAAGAAGCTGCTACGCTGTGCTATGCTGGTGAGGGGTCTTAAACCTTTGATGATATCTTGTGAATACGCCGAACTGCTGAGTGGTAGGTGTTGTGGCTCCTCAGGTGCGGTCTCACAGCGTGGTGATGTGGCTAGTCACGGCAGCGTATACGATAATGCAGAGGAACCCAGCATCATGTAGGGGCCTGGTACATGACCAGGGAGAAGCCTCTCGGAAGGAGGTTGAGGGAGCAGGTGAGAATCAGCGGTGCCCTTATCGTAAAAAGAGGTTACATGGTAGAGGCGAGGTTTGAGGAGGATCCATGGAAGGACGAGATGAGCCTTGATGAAGCAGTGAAGGTCCGTTGGGAATCTCTAGTCGCGATGATAATATCATGTTGTATTTAGATAATACCGTTGACGTCACTGTGGGAGCTACAGTGCCTTATGAGGCACCACTCGCCTTCCGTGTATCGCCTTGCTCAGCTGTAGGTTAAGTGGGGCTGCTGCTTGCCGTAGTACATTCTGTGTGGGCAGATTCCGTACTAACATGTTCGCGGAGACTGCCAAGAGGATATCGCCAGATGACATGCTCGTTGTGACGGACAAAGAGCTGTTTGACCGAGAAGTGAACTACCAGTGCAAACGAGGCCGTAGGGGGTTCTTGTGGGGTTACGTGGGGGGAGGTCTTTGATGTCAGGAGTAGCCCCGCCTGCGGCTATCGGCTTCATAAGAGATGAGGTCCAGCCGATTTACCAAGCTGCCGATGAGGTATTCGCACAGTTCAGATGAACTTAGTAACAAGGTCGAAGTATACTACGTAAAAGTTTCCTCATTGCCATTACTGGGGTAGTCTCGTTGAGTGTGTTACATTGTAATGAGGAGAGGAGGAGGAGTACTAGGAGTTGGGGTGTTGGTAGGGAATTGCTGCTCTGTCCAGTAAGGGAGCATTATGAACTCGGAGGTCATAACGCAGTAGTAATTCAGAATTCCACACTGGTATTATGTCTAGTCATGGGCATGCTGCCTCGGCGAGCTCAGGGTGGGGAAGGATGGTAGTAACAGCAAGACACCTCACGAAATAGAAACTTCGCTTGATGTAATGAGCCTGAGCATGCTATCTAGACGTGAATGCTCAGGGTGCCCAGGTCGTTTGTTGCCACCCTAAACCTGTTAGGTATTTTTCAAGGGTAATGATATCTTTGCAGTGTTTTCAAGACATGTCCAATCGCCGTGCTGTGAGTGTAAAAGTACACCCCCTGGTTTTGCTCAACATCTCGGACCACATCACTCGGGTATCCTATGCAGGTCAGTCGGTCAGTGCAGTGCGGGGCTTCCTAATAGGGCATTGTGATGGTGCCGACATTGTCATCACCAATAGCTTCCAATGTGTAACGGATGAGATGGTATGTGTTCAGCACGCATGCACACGGATTCGACAGTATGGTGAGATTTTCCCCAACTCCACCCCTGTTGGATGGTATTCGGTGGCGGCTGGTGGTCCGCCTTCAAATGAGGTACATGCCTTTATGGAGGGCATCGTTGGTGATGAAGGGGCCGAGTCTTTGGTCGCACTAGTGGTCCGGTCTGATAATGAGATGGCTTGGTTGAGTAAGGAGAGCGAGACGTTGCCGATCCAAGCCTATGAGAAGAGTGTTGATGGTAGTTTCATAGAATTGGATGTGAGGGTGTGTATGGAGGATGAGGCTGAGAACATCGCGGTATCACATGTGTCGAAGAATGCTAAACAGGCTAGTGCTGCTGGTACGTATGAGCATGTCGTGGAGCCGACACTGGGTGCCATCGCTATGCTCAACAAGAAGGTCGAATCGTTGTTGGAGTATATAAGAGCTGTCCAACGTCAGGAGGTGAGGTCCTCGTAGAGTGTTGGAATATATGCTACCTTCCCCAGCTGAACTCAGGAGTTTCTTTTACTAACGATGGGAGTCTACATCCGAATCGTGGCAGAAACGGGCAGGAATGAAGAGAAATTTCCCGAAGTTTCCTCGGAATTTCCATATTGTCACCAACATATGCGGTTGGCCATGTGCATATTTCCCAACACTCTCCTCAAAGGTTGATTGTTTACTCGTCCTGCGTGTGTTCGTGATTCGGTATGCGAGCCTAGTCCGTTGGCTGCATGCAATGTCGTCCCCAAATGGATGCCATTCTGTGATCGTATGGCACATGTCTGAATCTTCTGGTTACACCTATGCGTGACGCATAGGTAGACGCGAACAAGTAGACGCATAATGCGTCTACTTGTTCGCTTGCTTGGATTCGACTTGGTTTCTGTCATCTCACGGCTGCCTTCAGGTAGAAGCCTCTCGACCTCTACTGCGATCGATATCGGCCATATGCGACCAGCTGACGGCAATGTCGCGGGCAGGCCAGGAGGGTACTGCTTTACGAGCACATTGGGATAGAGTTATAGAGGACTCCATGACGGTGGCATTAGCTGCTGAAGGCACGGCTAACATCGCTGAGTTTTGTGCGACTGTGGACACGAGACGTATAGCTGCTGCACGGGCCCCTAAGGCTTTAGATTCGTAAAAGAGTGTACTGTTTCTTAGCACTCTTTGCTTGTGGGGTTCATAGTACCACACCAATCTCAACTCGTGTCATGTCCCAGCATGCCTCTTCATCATGTATAGGTGTTTAGTAGCATGGAGAGCAGTCTTCCACGCATACGATACCTCACGTAGTTTTACATGCATTTCGTGCATTTGTGTGAAATATGTCGGCGCATTGACGATGACTAATGCGCCTAAGCGACGATAGGTTACCAGTGACAACATTTTGCTATGAAGTTGGTTGTAGGAAGTAGCCTTAGTAAGACCACTATTTACAATGAACTTATGTTAGGTTGCCTTACGTGGATTGTGATGGCTGATTTTCGGTTTTCTGCTCAGTCGAAGTACCGCCTTACAGCACACTTTCCAGTTTCTATTGTCGCTGTTTTTGTGCAAGAAGTAATTCTCCACCGACTACCAGCCCTCGTTATTATGTCTCGGTTCTCAATGAATGTAGCCTTTTATTACATCTGTGGCCATTCCTAGTTGCTTCGGAGGTCAATGACAGTGTCGACAGGAAAAGTGTCCGCGGTATCAGTGCCGCTGCAGCCGCTCTCGAAGAGGGAGATCCTCAAGCAGCTCAAGAGGTTCTTCATCAGCACTAACACCGCCTGGTCCGATCGAAAGTGAGTCCATGAGTGTCCTTAGTCATGCTAGTGTCGGCCCTAAGGGGTAAGGGTCCGGGAGCTCCAGCGGTCCAGGAAGCAGCACGACGAAGGCTTGAAGCCTCTATGGAGCAATCCCAAAGCAGGTTGATCGTCGTTATTGCTCCGCTATCGTTTCACTGTCCTCACCAGCAGGTGGGCCGAAGCCAGGCTGGGGGACTGGCGTTGGAGCTCCGCAAGTAAGGAGATCTGGAGACGGATCAGAGGGAGCATTCGACCGAACGCTGCACCCGGTGAGGGGGTTCTGAGGTTCCCTTTCAGTACTATTGACTAGGGCTTTCTTATCGCTGAGAACTGCGTGACGGACGAGATAAGCATCTATGGAGAGCGTAAAGGGCCTGTGGCCAATGCCCCTGTGTGGCCATTAATGCAGCATAAATTCCGGGCACCGATATGTAAATGCTCGGACAACGTCGAGGATATGCTGGACAGGATCGAACGCCTACGGTGTGTTTGGATGATGGGGGAATATGCTCGCTTTCCTCAGCTGATATCTCTATCTCTGCTATTGATTATGGGAATTTATATATGAAATGGGGTAGAAGTTTTCAGGTACGAACACAAATTTCCCAAAATTTTCTCATAATTTTCATCTTTTCGCTGGCATGTCTTGACACTGGATGATGCCTTCTCCCATCACATGGTTTCTACTTAGGCGGGATGGGCTCTTCTACGCGGCCCTTATGAACTTGGTCACAGCCAGAGCTGAATGGCTATTCGTCAAGACTGGCATGCGCCATATGGCCAACGGCTTCCGAATGAATACCGCAGAGGCCTATTCTGTTGAGGAGGCCCTATACCATATTCCAGTGACATTCCTAGATAATTGGGGTCAACCTAAGGATCCTGCGATCAAGTCTGGTCAACGCCGTAAAGGAGGAACTGCAGTCCGGAGCAACCCGCAGGTTGTTGTATGTGCTTTTTCGCATGGCTCGATGATCGTGTCAGGAGGTCCTGTGCATCCCTGAGCTCCACGTCATACCAGAATCGGACCGGGTCCTTCAACCAGAGGGATGGTGTGCCCTCCTGACTGTGGAATATGAAACCCTTGCCTCGATATCATACCTGTCCCCCCTTAGCCCTCATGCGGAAGTGTGAGTTATGGGCCAAGTTGTAGTGCAGTCGGCTGTCTGGCCATGAGCAGGTATTTCGTGTCACAGCTGGCTGAGATCGCCATGGTCCGATGGACAGAGCCGGGAGCTGAGAAGGTTAGGGGCTCGAGGGGCTGAGGATAGTTGCTTTCGTTCTTCAGACTGCTGTCGATGAGGCAGTTCTACGTCTAGTATGGTCCCTGTGGCGCTTATACTACACGAACCCAATTGGTGGTGAATTCAACGACCAACACGACCTCATCATTGCCAAGGTGCTCTGTTCCTCCTATGTTGCTGGAGTATCTCCCAGATATTGGCAACGATGGGCTTTGCATGTTATCGACTGGAGGAGTTTTCGCTCGCCCGTGAGTGTTTCAAGAATGCTAAGATACTGCGCATATCCCATAACACTAAGCGACACCGTGAACCCCCAATGGTAGCACGTCACTTGGGAAGTCTGGTAAATGGGACATTGTGTGCAGATCTGTCCCCATGTGGCGGCTTGGGGACATAATGAAGCACTTGCCCTGGCCGCCTTGGGCAAATTCAGGAATGCATACAAGTTGGCGTGGAGCGCTGCGGAAATTATGAATGTGAGTTTCGATTGGGACGGTATGGGAAATTGGTATCATAGGCAACTCGGGGCCCTCGGCATCCCGAGACGATCCACTGCCAACTCACAGTAGAGAGGCTAACAAGGCGCCCTGACGTTGCGATGTACTATCAAGTCGATGGTACTGCTGGTTGTGTTGCTGGGCGTAGGTCTTTGAGCACTGGGGTTGACGTGTCCCCTAATGAGGCAGTGAGGGCTATAAAGAAGGCTGAGAAGCGGCCCAAGCCTGTCAGAGTGAATCGTCGGAGGAAATGAAGTGCTTGCCACGATCTCGTGTGAATCTTCTCGCGGTGTCAAACTGCTATGACCATTGCGTTGTCCGGTCCTTATACCTCGTGGAATGTCGTTCATCATAGTCGATGGATGGATGCGACAAAGGCTCCATGCTGGCGAGTGGCTGATGGTTGTGCCGGCCCACCTGGCTGGATCGGAAGCTCTCTATTGATCAGCTTGGGGATATCATTCACTATAGAGTCGATCAGTATAACCACAGTGTCTGCACTATACTCAGATTACCACTGAGGCTACGAGAAGGCCTCGTTAGTGCTTCAACATAGTAATGGCTTTTCCCGATACGTTTTATTCAATTCTATATCGTCAAGACTCAGTAAGCCCGTAAGTGTTTGTCGAGGCAGAGGAGGAATCCTGAAGTGAGGGCATTAATTTCCACAAGCTTCTCATGCCGTCAGGACTCTACCAGCCCTGGAGGTCTCGATTGCCATCCGATGCACGGTTGGAGACCCTACTCCAGTACAGTGAAGAGGAGAAGAATAAACTAACATGAATTCCGACACGTGGTTATCTCGCTAAGGTCTCTGTCGCGTTCAAAGGGTCGAGGCTACGACTGCAACAGCAGCAGCAGTAGCTTTGATCAGCGTATTCTCATCCACTTTCTCGGTTACGATGAGTGCCATCTTCGAACCCTCCCCGACCAGCAATAGCAGCAGATATCCTGCTGAGAGGAAGTACTCGGGGTCAAGCCGCAGCAGTAGCAGTGTCAAGGGACCATACCCCCAGACAGACTTCAATGACCCCAATTTGGCCGTCAGGACTCTCATGGTCTTCCGGTTCCCTCGGGAGGCCCAGGAGGTAGACTTAGGTGAGATCCCATCGTCGGAGCTTCTCGGTTTTCATCCACTTCTTACAGCTTGTCGATTCGGCCGTTTCGGCCCCCTCGAGCACGTCAAGGTTGTTTACGACCCCGTCACTCACTTACCGCGCTGCTATGGATTCGTCCGTTTTGTCCATCGTGCGCACGCCCTGGAAGCCTACCAAGCCTGTGAGGAGCGGAGCATCTCTATGGACGACCCTTTCGGACGGACCTGTAACGTCACGTCATCTCGGTCCTAGCAGGGTTATTACCTCCTCAGGGTTTTTCGAAGTGAAGTGGGCTCGGAATGCTCGCGCGGCTGGGGAGATTCCGAGGGGTTCGTCGGACCAGCAAGATAATTATAGCGGCGGGTATGTACAGTCGTTGGATAATGCACTCCCGCAAAACGGTATCTTCTCGGAACCATCGGTCTCCACTGCTGATGCTGCTGTTGCTGTTCATCCTACCAGACACGACTCGTGAGTGCACTCTTGAGGTTATTCGATTAACGTATGTGATTAGGATGTTGGATAACATGGACGACTCCAGTTCTACTGGTGTGCCTCCTTCCCTCATCGAGCCTGCCCTTCTCGAGCTTGTCAGCTACGATGAAAGCTCCAGGCCAGTACGCAGCAACATGTTCATGCTGAAAAGCATCGCCCTTGTTAGATGATGTCCTCGGAGGAAGCCCAAGAGCTCTTGAGGCAGCTCGAAAATGCTCAGCAGTCCGATATGACCATCACAGCAACTAGAGAGGACGAGTCGGTTTCTCCCTTTGAATTGCCTCATGCGGTGAGTTCAGTCCGAGTCTCAGCAGGTCTCCCTCGATCCTATAGAGTTGTCAGATTCGCGAGCCCCCAGTTCTCAATCACTACTTAGACATTACCACGGAAGCTGAGGAGGCTGCGACCTCGCAGGCGGCGGCTGCAGCTGCAGCAGCTGCATTGGCGTCTAAGAGGGAGGATACTTCCCAGGCCGATCTGGCTCTGCTCATGGAGACTGTTTTCAAGGTGGGTCAGGGAGAGGTTGCCAACAGCGATCGAACCACTCATTTGCCATTGATCTGTGAAGATTGCATCGTATATGAATTCCTTCAAAATCAGTGGAGAAGTCTCCGTCTTCAGACTGTGCGTCGCAGCGCCTTGGAAAGGCTACGTAAGGCTAGCGATGCCTCTACTACTAGTACGCGATGTGGCAGCAGCAGTTCGACGTCAATGTTGGGTGAAGTGCTCGATCATCCAAAGCGAGATCCTCGAGTAAGGACCCTCGTCACTGACTCCTCTATGAGAATTCCTCATGTATCAGGTCGGATCAGGGGAGACTGCGATGGACGACCCCGCAGCTGTATCTTAATCTCGGCTGATCCCTCATGAAGTCTGCGACAAGATACGAAGGCAGGTTCTCTTATCACTCCGTTTAATGTGTGACCATAGCAGTGGATTACCTTTTTTATGTAACCTAAAAAGATCAGTAGAGTTACTTCTCATATCTCATCATTAACCCTCGTATCCATTGAGCCTTCTGAGCCTGTAAACTTGCTGTTATCGCCTACTACAAGAACGGTTCGATCCCGATGCACCAGATTCGATCGAATATCATTTTTGTCATGTGCACGTCGTATTGGAAGAGAGTGAAGGTGGTGGTGGTTGTTATTATTATTAGAAGAGTGTTTCTTGCTTTTGTCACATTGCTGAATCGAGGATTCCTGTAGGGCCCCATAAAAGGGTTGTTTCTTCTAGCAGTAGTAGTATTGTCATTACTAGTGTTGAGATAGATGCCTGCATATAGAAGATATATCCATTCCTCACTCTATTTAGTCGTTGTCGGGGCAGAATAGTGTCTACAGTTGATGGTGTCACTGATCGTCTCCGGGGTATCATGATTACTGCTGCACGTCTTTAGACTTGGTATTTTTTTTAAGATGATGAGGGTAGCTTTGTCAGGCAGAGTGCATGGGACCTAGTAAGTCTCTTATCGTGTTGAGTTCTGCAGTGATAGTCCCGAGAAAATGTGCCCGATTGCCATATGGTTGTTGTGATAGATCTGTTGTATTAAGAGTGGAAGCAACTGATTACATGAAGAACTGGTCCAAGATACATACACACACAGACGCTACCAAGAGCATGATGTATAGCTGGTGAATCTTATACCGTCCTGGATGGGGGGATGCTGGTAGATAGTTAAGTACTCGCCCTCTGGCTATGAATGTCTGTCGCGTTGACGACAGGACGGCGATGCATAGTTATACCCAACAAGGGTTACCTCTGTTACTAATCGCTCCTTACATCAGATGTTCGAGCTCCTACTAATATCTCAGCGATGGTTAAGATGAGCTCTTGTGTACGCGTGCTACCGACATCGCGCTCGCCCGAGAATCTCTACTACTATTCACATAAGTAGGTAGAAAGAAGCTGTAAACACGAATTAAAATTGTCGATGATGAGGGATTATCTGACCGATTAGGTTAATTTGATAATCTAGTTTGTGAAATGAACCGAATATTTGGGGTTGGGAAAAAGAAGGTGGAGGCCCCTCCCGCCCCTACAGGGCCGTCTCTGGCCGAGACCAGTGAGCACTTGGACAGCCGAGTCACATTATTAGACAAGAAAATCAAACAGTGTGATGAGGATCTAATCAAGTAGCAAGGAGAGCTCCATCGTAAGCCACCAGGCTACAGGTACAAGCAGCAGATGGCGACTAGGTCTGGTGCGGTCGGGGCCAAGCAGCGAGCATTGGCAGTATTGAAGAGGAAGAAGATGTATGAGGCCCAGAGGGATCAGATGATGAACACGCAATTCAATGTGGACCAGGTAGAGGATCCCCGTCCTAAGGTTGGATCCTGGGCTCACCAACTCGGTGCTCAGGCGGCCTTCACACAGGAGCAGATTCAGACTAATATCAACGTGGTGGAGTCGATGAAGGTAGCCAATAGCGCCATGAAGTCCCAGATGAACGACTTCAACATCGATCATGTGGAGGATGTTGTAGACGATATGGCGGTGAGATGCTACAAAGGCGGTTCGGAAGGGGAAGGGTGATGACGATGTTAGGATATTATGATGGACCAGGAAGAAATCAACGACATTTTGGGTAGAAGTTATAACTTACCTGAGGGTTGCGATGATGCTGCTCTGGAAGCTCAATTCTCCATGCTAGAAGAAGAGGTCGCCATGGATAAGGAGAATGAGCTCCGCGCGGTAGTGCAGACCAGGGCCAGCGCCACTACACTCGTTGCTGGGCTCTCAGGGACCATCAGCTCCGACGTACTTGCCAACTACATTGCCGGGACTAGACAAGCCAGTGTCTGCTCCAACAGCGCCTTACTCAACACCAGTAATAAGCACTCGGTATTGTGCTATGAGTGCAAGGGAAATTATCACAGGTTGCTCTGGGGTCGATCAACAAGCCACAATAAGTCTACGTCTCCCCGCACCGCCTGAGCGCGGTAAACTCTGCCTCTAATTCGAACTGTACCCTTGTTGCCAACATCGAAATTCTCTGTTGTATTTCAACTTCGGGTTGAGTCCCAGGTTGTCGCGTTGGCCCGAGTAGGTTGCTCAGGATTGCATCTCGCCAAAGCCGTTTTCTACTCAGTTTTTCGTTTGTAGTGTACTCGTTCAGCATGGTAGGTGCCACGGGCAGGTGGGAGTTGAGAGAGTTACGGTATCCATTTTTAGTCGGGCAACATTATGGAGTATAACGGTGGCAGTGTGATTGCTATGAAGGGCGAAGGCTGTGTCGGAATCGTAATATCGGATGGAATCAGCGTCACGCGCCACGAAATTACTCCACTAGGCCTGCGATCGAAGATATGGCGTCAACCAGCTGCAGACGGTCTCGGCCAACATGCAGAAGGTGTACCCGATGACATCCCGATGCTTGGTCGGATTCCAAGGCCTCGCCACTGACTCCCAAACACTGTACTAGAATGGTCATGGGCCCGGCTTCGCAGCGATGGGGGTTCTTGACTGCAGATCTCAGCTGCTGAAGTTCCGCTTGAAGCTGTACAAGTTGAAGGAGGACAGGGAGATGCCATGTGACGTTGTGAGTCACTTGATGGCTACTATGCTCTACGAGAAACGGTACTAATACTACTACCCCTGCGGCTGGCTGGTTATACCCGACTATTCCTAGGTTCGGGCCCTACTTCTGTGAGCCTGTTATTGCTGGTCTTAAGAACGATGGCGAGCCCTTCATCTCTTCCTTTGACCTTATTGGTGAGTTCTAAGCTTGCTCTCTCATTAATGAGTTTATCAGCCCTTTAAGCCGTAGTGGTACTCTCTATGTGTGATTGAAGTATGGGTGGGTCGATACATAAGTGTGTGATCGGGCTCATCGATAGCTCTCGTGTTGGCGTATAGCTTCGCTGTCCTGAAGTGTTCGCTATAATGCTGCTACATCAGGCACGGAATCTACTGCCCCCGATTTCATCGTCTCTGGTACGGCTACCGAGCAGCTCATGGGTGTAGCCGAGAGCTTCTGGAGGGAAGGCATGGGCCCTGAGGAGCTCGCTGAGGTACTTGCATCAGCAACAACAGTTGAGGGGTGAGAGCTCTCCTTGTAGGTCCTGGGCCAATCGTTGCTCTCGGGTATTGACCGCGACTGTCTCTCTGGATGGGGTGGCGTGGTCTATATACTTACCGATAAAGAGGTAAGCTCTTGCACACTGACGTCGCTCTTCCTGAAACCTTGGTCTTATCGTTAGTTGATCACAAAAACACTGAAGGGAAGAATGGACTAATGGCAGTGGAGGGTGCTGCTTGGATTCACGGAATTATACCCAAGAAGAGTGATGAATAGTTTCCTCATTTCTTTTCGGATTTGCGTTCCCCTCGGCAAGTAGCGCAGGCGGAGCGAGACGGTAGTGGTGCAATAAAATAGTGACAATCATGGCATCGGTCTCAGTCGTAGCTCAGCAGCCGATCTCGTCTATAATGACTGTCATCCCATCGACCACCGAGGCTGGCAAGAAGCGACCAGCTGATGAGATCGAGGCCGAGAAGGCAGTGGAGGAGGAGGAGGGAGAGGACCTTCGTCAGTATGGTGATGCTAGCTATTGGGAGGAGCGCTATAAGGCTAAGAAACAGAGACTCACTGAGGAGAAGAAGAGTGAGAAGGACGGTAATCGATTTGGTTATCGTAGTTGGAGAGATGTGCTCTTCAGAGAAGAAGGCTGCCGCTGCAGAGGATGATGATGATAATTCGACTGATGAGTGGCACTTCAGTTTCGAGGCTATGAAGGAGCTACTGCCCGAGAAGAAGGATATCACAGTTGTTGATGTTGGATGCGGAGTAAGTTATCCTGAGCTACCTCCACATATTGTCCGCATTATAATATAATGATTATGTTGGAGGTCATTTGAGTGTATAAGGCGCTTTCCAATCTAATAGAGTGACTTTATCAGGTGTCCTCCTTCCTTAACTCCATGCGAGAGGCGGGATACACTGGTCGCCTTATCGGTCTTGACTACTCACCCAGCGCTATTGACATGTGTAAGGAAATGTTCAAGGAGGTGGAGTACCATAATAAGGAGGCTGCGGAGATGTGCCCTGAGATCGTTAAGCCTGGTAATACCACACGTTATGTCGGAATAGATATATTCTTGTTCAGCGGAGGTGGATATGTTCCTCGACAAGGCGACCATCGACGGTCTGTTGGCTGACGAGTCCGGGGCTGAGCACGTCCAGAGGTTGTCCAAGGTTGAGGGCCAAGCCCTTAAGGTTGGAGGTCAACTCATCTGGAGCACCATGTTCGGTCCTTTCGAAGAGTCTGGCGTGAAGGTATTGACTACTGTGAGTTCGTAGTAGTTGCTGCTCACGTCTTGTCGTAATAGGTCCTCAAGGAGACCATATTACCGGGCCTCTTGGCTGGTGATGACAAGGCTTCTTACAAGGTCTATTGTCATGTTCTTGATGATGGTACGGAGGACATCGAGTTGCCTGAGCTCGAGGGGGACGAGGAATCAGCCGAGAAGGCCGAGCCAGAGGAGCATGCTGAGGAGCCCAACGCTGCTGAGGGTAAGGGCGGTCTCCGACTTCATTAGCCGATCAACTGGTTATAAGGTACTGATGCAGCAGCCGAGGAGGAGAAGGTTGAAGAAGGTGACGAGATCGATATGGCGGAGCTCGGCGACATGGACGAGATGATCATGCAGGCCCTGGCTGAGACCGAGACTCTTGCAGTGTGGATAATTGAGAAGGTCGAGAAAGCTGCCGATGCCCCCAAGGATACCACTGAGCTCATCGGTAAGATCATCGAAGATATCGAAGTTGATGTTCACGATGGTGGTGACGACGACGAGGAAGTGGAAGAAAAGATAGAAGACTAAACATAGACCAGTTTCTCTCCGTTCTAGCAGTCTAATAATTGTGATTTATCCGATAAGAGTTCCTCGCTTCTATCACGTTTCTTCCTAACAATAGCGTTGTTGTGTTATACAGTGTTATCTATCAACATGGAGTTACGCGAACGACTCGTCCCAAGGTCGGGTATGAGCGATAGGATGCTGGAATCTTGAGCTCTGTTCTTGCTTAATTCATTCCATGTACTGCGGGTGCGTGATGGTATATAAACTATCCATCATCATTTTCAACACATACATCATGTATGATAAAACGGTAATCATACACATCACGTGTATGATATACGATATACTCAAATTGACCTCAAACTCCAATCTGGATCGGTTCGATCCTGATGACTGTGCTATTCTCCCATTGGGGGATCAGTATTGATGTTCATGTTTCCTCTCAAGGAGGGACGCGGACGCTTTTTTTCTCACCAAAAGCTCAGGGTTTACTCGTACAACTCAGCACATCGGGTTTGTGAAAAATGTCAGAACTCAAAAACATGAGAAAACTAGTGGGTTTGGATCGCGGTCAAATCAACTGACCAGGGCTTTCCTATGACCACTCCGCTCGGCCTCTTAATAGTCACACGGTTCCCTGACGCATGACTCATCTTAGCCGAGACGCTCGGGTTATTGAGAATCCCTGGAAAGCAGAACAACAGAGTTACAACTTGCATCTCTAACCGGAATAAGAATGGTAGGCTGGAGCGAGCTGTGAAGTAGAGGGGATCTTTGTATCGCCACTTACGTTCTCTAACTGCCTTAGACAATCCAATGATATCAATCCTCTCCACAAGGATGCTGAAATCGCCCTTACCCGATACTTCTGTACTAGAGATGCTCTGGCCGTCAAGCCTGAGTACAGCGTCCTTCACCGAATTCCACGATATGAGCTTTGACCCACTTGATAGTGCTGAGTGTGTAGTCCGCCCGGTCGATACTATCCAGACTGTTACCATCGTCAAGGTACCTGAACATCATCCCAGCTTATGAAGCAGCTTGCGTAGGCCAAATACATCTGTCCCTCTGCCGTATTAGTATTGGGATCGACGAAGACCTCCAGAGTGATAGGATCATCACGCATCGCCTTAGTGGATGGCCGTTGTCGCATCTTCAACCTGAGTCGCGGCTGATACAAGTTTCAACCACACAATTCTCACGGTATAATGCTGCCAGCTCGATAAAAGTGCGGTATGGTGTCCATAGTCACTGCCATGTTCTCGTTCATTCCGACTGGCATCATCTGCCGACAAGGAACATTCGCACGCTGTATCGGCCATAAGGACCTTACCTCGTCCTTCGCATTATACCACCGAGCCCCTTCTGGGAGGTATACCGACACGTTGTTGGTCCCACTTTCGACCACTCCTCGGACCATAACATCACGGCCTAGTACAACCTAGAGGTGAAAATGGATAGCAACTAGAAAAGCAACAACATTCCCTCACCTGAGAATCCAATATTTCATCACACCCATCTACGGGGCATGCATATGTGTTGGCGTCATGCAAATGATCGAACCATAATGGGCGCAAAATGGCCTCCCCATAAAGCGAATAACGGGCGAAAAGTGTGTACCAGAGAGGAAGCATTTGGTACCTAAGTACAGTCTCTAGTCTCTGCTAACTAGGTGTGGTGTCACCGTCTCTGCACTGCTTCCCTCACACGATTGCGAGCCGCCTCGCTGTACTCCCAGGGCTCCCTCCGGGGGGACTCAATATGTGCATGAGATCTGACAAAAGCCCACAGCAGCAAACGCCGCTCTTGCTGCCCGTAACGACCTACCTGTAAAATGGGTTGGTAGCCGCGGCAAGCTGATGCCATCGAGTGAAGAGTTCCTCCTCGGGGTGACCAAAGAAGCCCCCCACGTCAGCGCCAACGAAGGAGTACCTAAAGCATACACCTACGGCTAGCAGCCACGCCCCCCCCAGCACTGACCCAGCAGTTGCTGATAAAGTGACAAGCATGGGCAAGACTGCCTTCAGGTGCAGCCAGCTGGCCTCGTTGTCTCCTGTCCACATAGGACCATACCTGTTACCACACTATACTGCCTATTCTCGTTGTGCTGAGGGGTAGGCTACATGTGGCTACCAACATAGAAGCTCCTGGTGAGGACGAATGGTCGCTGGCCTGGTCGACGATGCTTAGCGTGGCCCTCAAAGGTAGCCCTATGGAAGTACTGACCGTATCTGGGCATACACAAAATTATGCCGTTATACACATTGACTGAAATAGCAATATCACCACTGCACGATACCATTTCAAATTAACATGTGATCGAATGAATGAGGAACGAATAGTAGGGCAACGATAGGTACACACATGTTATGCACATCTCGGTGCTCGATATCCCCTCCGTGTATCAAGTCCCGATCCATAGACACCTAAAGAGGGGACGATAGCCGGTGAGCAAGCCACAGTGGACCTCACCTCGGGGCCATTGAATACACTGGGCTCGTTCATATCATTCCACGTATAGAATCCAGCGTTGACCCCATCAGCCTTGAAGTAACTACACCATAACTGTAGTTCACGAGCCAGCCGATTCGAATGCCACCCGAGAGAGCCGCCGTTTGGTATCTCACCTCGCCCACCATTGTCGCACAGAGGAGTTAGTGAAGTCGGGGTAAACGCTAGTTCCAGGCCAACAGTGACCACTATAGACCTCGTCGGGCTTATCCTTATTCCACACTTTTATCTAAACCCGCTCACCCTTAGACCAGAATCAACAGTAGCTACCCCTACCATCCTGGGGCTCCAGTGCCCGCTGTGGTCGGGGTTCGGCTTAGTCGGCGGCGTCCACTCTCCATCCTCTTCATCATTCCATTCCTCAGGCTTCACCTGAGATCAAGAGCAGTGCCAATGTCCGACAAACCAGGTCCTCTCTCACCGCTTCGGTGTCCACGATGCTCTCGGTGGTGTTCCAGTCATCTAAGAGGAAGAGGAAACAATAAATGACGAACACAGTAGTGGCGGTTAGGATAACCTGGTTGTTTGTCCTCAGGGTCAGGGACCATGTCGTACACACGCTTCTTAACGAAGACATCTTGGGCTAGACCCTCTGAGTATACGAAGTACCTATAATAAAGCAAGAGTTGAACGACGAGTGGTATGTATGTTGACCATTTTCACATCTCCCCTAGACAATTCGTAACGCGAATGATACTCTCCAAGATACGATGATGCAAGCCTTGAGAATGAGTATACAAGAGTGTTGAGGAAGAGCACGACTACCACACTGCCTTACGTTGTGTCCTGTTTTATATGAGGGTCGACAATGGTGACCATCTCTCGCCCACCAGCCTTGACGTCCTCAAGCATTTGTTTCGGGTCAGGGAAGTATTTCTCATTCCATGTATGATACCTGCATCAAGAACAAAGGCCTCAACCCCCCCGTAGACTAGCCTGCTGCTGCCACCCTACTTCTTATGATCAGTGTGTTCGATGTCTAGCCATACCACATCAACTGGAATGTTGTACTTATCGAAGTTGGCCACCAGCTCCCGCACCTCGGACTCGTCCTGAACTCATCCTTATCTATTCTCGACACAGCGGACCGTCAGCCTGCCTTATAGTTCCATCGACATTGGTGCTTTCCCAGACTGAACAACGGCGGTAGAGGGGCCAAACCGGTGAGAGAGTGGTATGCATTGAGTATCTACGATGGAGACAACCATCGACATAAATAGACTCGGCAAGCTGACCTTCTGAGGGGTCCGCTGCGGGAAGAGGAAGAGGTCGATGATGCCCGATTCCGAGACGAACCATGAAGTGAGCGACGTCGGCTCGGCAGTAGAGGATCCAGCTGAATGAAAACGATAATGACAAACTAGTGCGAACATCCCTGGGCAGTTATTGCGTGTGGAATTCCTACAGATGAGCCCCTCTATCAAGGAGCTCCATGTCCCAGTATCTTTACGTTGAGTTAGAGACACGAACGTGTCCGATGGATTCAGCCAAAGCACCGACGACGACGAAGTGGTGGTAGTAGTAGTAGCGATGTCCTATACACGTGCTGATGGCCACCACACTTTGGATGTTGCTTACGCTCGACTTGCCCCCGAAGCGGTGTAGGGCAGTTAAGATAGGGATAGACCCGTAGATAGCCGCATGACTGTCCATCTCGTATTCGAACACGTCCAGGTTGTAGAAGCTGACATAACAAGTGATCAGCACCCCTTGAGAGTTCCCTCCATCAGCGCCTGAGCGGCGAACTGGAGAGGGGGATTCTCGCGATACTGTAGTGGGCACTTTATAACGGAGCGTATCCCTATCTCACCGGTAGAGAGCATCGTCCTCATCGCCACCAGCTTTGAGCTTCTGTGCTGTAGTGGCATGTTCGGGTAGGCCGTATGCTGCCGGGACTTTGCCGTGGAATGTCACATCGACACCCACGAGAGACGGGCCTTAACGTGACAAATGTCGACTGTGGTCAACTCGAATGCTCTTACCAAAGGGCTTGTGGTCCGTATGGCTGTGGAAACTTTCTTCCCATAAGCCCGAGTGGTTCCCAGGGGAGCAAGCAGGATCGATATAGGTGTCGGAAAGGTTCGCCAGTCCGTAGGGGCTGGAGAGCGCGCGAGTAATTTAGTGACAGTTATGGGTGTTTACCATTTATCGTTTCGTTGTCGTCTGGTGCCCTCAACAACGAGCTGCTGTTGGCCATTGATCGTCTGCACGATACGGCCATCCACCGACAGTGTGATGATCTAAGATCGGACACTGTACAACAACGCATCAGCTGTGCCCTAGTGAGGGAACACGTACTGAATGCATGGACTCGCCACGTCGCTGTGATCAAATACGATCAAATACCGAAAGCAACGAGGCTTTCACGAATGATACCAATGGATAGCTATAAATTACTATAAGCCACTATTATTCCCTGGATATAGACGTAATAGACTAGTATACATATCCTTATCTTCAAGCGGTATAAAGTAGGATTATATCACATTGTTGTCAGAATTTGATACTACGACAATATACAGACCCCTAGAGCGCTATCCTCGACGGAGAGGTAACAAGATAAAAGCTAACCCTGTGGAATCTCTCCGGAGCGATTTCAGTCCACTCAGAGTAGAAGGCATTAGCTCACCGCTTTGTCATGATCCAACGTAAGTGTGGTAGCATCACCAAGTTCGAAAGTGGAAGTTGCCGACTGAATAATAACAACTTAAACGACAGATTTTCCAACTGCTTGCCGACTCACTCTGGGTTCGAAAACGTACTTGACACCATGCAGTGGCTTTAGTCGGTCCTCGCGAATAACGTCATTCGCGGGGATTCTATAGCTGACCAAATGCGCATAGTGAAGGCTCTGACATCGCCGACCGCACTTACCGCTTACGAACACCCTGGACGACCTCGTCGTTTTCATCGACGGTGAAACGTATCGTATTGTCGTCGTAAAAACGTAACTAGGGAACCGCCTTGGCTTGCTGCAGTGATGGACTCACTCAGCTACCTGGAAAGTGAGCGGTGCGGGATGGTCTTTGGGTAGAGCCGAATGCCGCAAACTGCCTTCGAAAACTGACTGAGAGATCTCCTTCAAGCCCGTGCGTGGTACCTGACCAGAAAACAACAATATGAATGTTCCCCTCTTCAGCAGCGAAAATATATCGACACTGAATTCCAAGAAGTAGTTGCTGAAGACGTACCATATAGGGCTTCCTGGTCCCCTCCGCCAGTCGCGTCCATGCCCGATATCTATCACAGAAGCCACTTTGGGTGCAAGTCTTGAACTTGCTGCTGTCGACGGCGAATACACCGGGTAGAAGAGCGATCAACAACGACCGCATCGTCACTGGGCGGCAAAAACTCAAATGTGGAAAAACTGCGAGCGATTAAGCTCATATTCCGTCTGTGTGAGATGGTTAACCGTTGGTGCTTCCGGAACCTATCATTACAGAGCACAGACATTTTTGATGTTTTCAGGTACATAGGGCATCGTAGATTTGCGGCGAGTGGGTTCCTGTCCGAGCAGCCGAGCAATGGCACGTCGGGAACCGCGCCACTTCACAGCATCTCAGGAAATGTCTCAACCTGGCTTAGTTCTTGTTCATATAGAATCAACTACATCGTACACTAGCGTGATCGAGGTTGGGAGTTTCAACTCCATATAGAGAATGTTAGTACGGAAGGGCTCGCATGACCATTGGAGACTTCAATTAGGAGTATGTCGTGTAGCATTCTAGAAGCCTGTTTCATAGGAGTAGTATTTTCATAGTACTTTAAACTCGAGTAAAGCCTTAAAGAATAGCCTCGAGCGAGCTCGGCACGCCATCTCACTAGTGGCCTTTAGCAACTCCCCAGGCCGCTATTTGATGCATCTGAAATTTAGCATTTCTGTGAAGCACGTGACATCGCTGACCTTTTCGAACTCTGCACGCGTGCACACGGTTGCATAAGGTGACGGTGCCGTCATTGTTACGAGATCATTTCAACTTACGAAGATTTAACACAGCCGAATGGGGAGGTAGATCTTGTAGGTCCCGACATGCGCCGAGGGAGTCCCTCGGAGGGACAAGCGTTGTGTCGATGTTCAATAGTGCATCCTGTGAATCACGGGGGAGTTTGGTGATCTTCGTCTGTACATACTGGGCATTTTGTGGAAAAGGGTTATCTATATTTCCTTCGCAGAGACTACCTTTGACTTCAGCTGATAAATGGGTTGCAAGCATAGTACTCTGATCCTCGAGCCGGTTCCCTTACTTCCTCCCGAGGAGTCAGGCAGCGAAGCCAAATCCACCATGGAGAGCAGCGAGCTAAAGGGAAGTGGGAATACGCAGGAAACTAGGACGACGGGGTTGCTGTCTAGAGGAGCCTCCAGTGAGGGCCTATCGAGGGCCGAGTCGGGGACCTCTCGACCACAGGTCATGGCTCTTACGCCGGAACCTGAAGAGCCTGTCAAAATTGCTGCCGAGTTGAAGCGACCTCCGTTGGCTGGAGAACTTCCTGGCTCTGAGCCTCCGGCATTAGACAATGGAGAGCAGTTAGCTATCGTCTCACGAAAGGAGGAGACTATGGTGGTGGCTAGCAAGCTGACCAAATCTGTATCTTCCGCGAGTTTCGAGTCAGCTCTCTCTGGAGACGAGGGATCGTCCTCTTCCGATGAGAAGAGGCTTCGTTCTATAAGCACTGATAAGCTGGTGAAGGAATTGTCGAAGCGAATGGTTGGTGAAGAAGAGGCTGCGAGGAAGGCTCCTGATCCGATAGCGCACGTCCAGAGATTGAGGACATTCTATGGCTTCCGTAAGAGAGTAAATACATATACGGATTTAACGCATCATCCGAACGATCTCTGGTGGAGCGAGGCCCATAACGACTGCGCGAAGATTGCCAATGATTTGGGCCCTTCACCGCAGTTGCTGTCGGAGGTTATCAAAGTCAGAGTGGTTCGACGACCGAAAGAGGAACTCGATTCTGACATGTCATATTTCTCTGATTACGTCTCCATGGGTATGGCAAACCCTGAGAAGCGGTATTTTGTCTTCAAGCTGGGTCTCGGCGATCATATCGTGGTAACACTCTCCGAGGTCATCGATGATGAGGCTTACGAAAGGCTCTTTACGCAATACACACCCACTCAAATGCTTATGGAGCGTATGAAGTTCATCACTTGTCCGGCTAATCTAGTCGTTCCTGTTCCCTTGCTAGGGCCTAAATCGGCTCAAACGTTGGGAGTTTATTTTGGTCTGAATAATGTATCTTGTCAGTACTGCTCTACCCCTTTACCAGGTGGCGATGCATTGCGCTTCGTCTCTGTGTACATTGACATCTACAGTAAATGGATTCTGCGGAAGACCATCCCATCACTTGCTTTTACGGTTGGTAGGATCAGCGACTTTTTCTTGGTTGACTACGAAAAGGCTATCATATACTCGAGCTTTCGTCTGGTCTGTACAGAGGAAGGAGTCGCTCTGATGAATAAGTAATTGTGGAACATTTTTTGTCCTCGTATGGACTTCCCCTGTACATGTGTAATATAATGTTACCTTTCTTCATCGTGGTAGGTGCAGTAGCTGTGACGAGGCTGCGAAACATCTCTTATCTCCTTTACTCTCATCATCCACCTGTGAACTTCACTATTTTCTCGGTCGATGTTATCAAATTGATCTTTTCCAGCCACTGTCTGCCTTTCGTTTTTACCATAGTACCACGTTGTAGAAGCCAGGTATTCTCACGGTTTCGCATCTGCTGCAGAAGGTCTCGTGTACAATCGGGGTCATCCTTGATTGGTCAGGGCTATCATTTGATTTTCATGATCTATGACCAACACCGAAGAAGCATCGCTCAACAACACAGCATCCGTCGAACAGCTCAGGCGGATGGTCGACATCGCGTCAGCTTTGAAGGTCCTACAAGCACTATCGAAATACGGGGTGTTTCAAAATATCTGTTTTTGTGAGTAATTCTTCATAGAAGTTGTACACGAGGATGTAATTTGACGATAATATACAATTGAACGAGAGTAATCAGACGATGTGAAAATCATTTAAGTATTCTGAGTCAATTGGTAAGGAGCCGAAACTTTTCGATTGCGAAAAATTTGGGGGAACAATGGGGGTGTTGGATTTACACGGCTTGGTGGCATAGGTGCCCCTACACTTTTGAACGACGAAAAATGATGCAATGGGGGAAGTGTTGGGTTTACACGACTTGGTGGCATAGGTGCCCCTACACTTTTGAACGACTAGAAATGGGACAATGGGGTGGTGTTGGATTCACACGGCTTGGTGGCATAGGTGCCCCTACACTTTTGAACGACGAGAAATGGGGCAATGGGGGGGTGTTGGATTCACACGGCTTGGTGGCATAGGTGCCCCTACACTTTTGAACGACGAGAAATGGGGCAATGGGGGGGGTGTTGGATTCACACGGCTTGGTGGGATAGGTGCCCCTACATTTTTGAACGATCAAAAATGATGTCATTGGGATAATTCGGCGTTAGTTTAGCATATGATTGTCAACTTCGAACTGTTGGGGCAGCTATGCCACAGGTCGTGGAATGCGACCGCTGCTTCCATTGTAAGAGGTTTGGTTGACGATAAATTCCAATTCCCATTGACGGCTGAGAGTAGGGGAATGGCTTCTACACTACTCGGAAGGTCTCGTCATCCCTACCCTCATTCTCCTACTCAGAATCTATAAGACAAATATGCAAGAAGCACTTTTTGTCGAATATCCTGTAGTCGCTTTGGTGGAGTGTTCAACAATCGAACTGTCAAAGCTCGGCTGTGTCATTCAAGTTCGCAACATTTTGTGTTGGGCTGAATCCGGTCACTGAGTTGTAGACTTCCCCGTATCGCCTATAGGTTCCCCTCTCGTCCATCCACCCAGCTAAAGGAGTGGACGGTCTGTTGAGTGACCAGTACGAGGCTAGGACGAACGATGGAGAGTCTCTTTTCGTAATGCACGGGTTTCTACTGATCTCTATATTTTCCTAGCGTCGTGGAAGATTAATTCGAAGGTGACTACGATATTTGTAGAGCTCTATAGCGAGTAATTTGAATATTCGTGTGGTATCTCCGTGTGATCATATTCCACGGTTTACTCAGTGAATAATACCTATATTCCAGGGGTTTAGGTCAAGTATTTGCCGGTCGAAGGCCCTGTTCGCGATTTTTGTCTCGAGCTGGATGTCTACGATCGAGAACAAAACTGTCTAGCGTTCTACAATGAGGCCGGAATTCACGGTGAGTTTAATTCTCCTGATACGTCCGCCATCGTGTCTCGTGCCGTCAGAAAAGCTTCGAAGTATTCCTGATTGTCACTTGTACCTCCCTGGACTCTACTATAGTGATGATCGGATGATCGCAATGGACAACTTGGTGAAGTCCCATCACTTCGAGGCCTACCGCATCGAAGACCCAATGGGCCTTTCACTGGCGACTGAAGTATGTCCTCGGCAAGATGTAGGCTGCGACCTGTCCATCTTCAGTGTATCAAGGCCTTGGCGTACTTCCATGCGGTAGTGCCCGTGGAGGCGGCTCGAGCCCGCTTTCTGAAGCCTCGTGAGACGATCTACCATGTCATGGGCAGAATTCTCGACGAGGGCATTCTCTATCTGGAGCAATGCGGCGACTCATTGATAGGTGAGAGCCGAGTCGTGCAGAAAGCATGTGTGAGAGAATCGAAGGCGAACAGATTCGGAATGTCGGAAAGCCATCGTTGAGAAGAGGGAGTACATCCAGGATGTCATGGTCGGAAACCCGAGCAAACTTACGATTGGCGATGCCATACTAGTTGTTGCCCATGAGGACATGTGGAGCAGCAATATCATGACTCATCGGCGTGAGGATGGTAACTGGGCCGGTGAATTGCGAACAGTAGACAAAATGAATATAATAGGTACGATGGAGATATCTATCGTGGACCATCAGTTCCCTGAAGTCGACACTCCGAGTGTCGACATCGTTTTCTTCATATTTTGTTCGATGGCTGTTGCCGATAGACGTAAGCATGTGCTATGTTCGTTCTACCTCCAGCGTCTCTACCATGCCATAGGTGCTCATATGAAGGAACTCTTTCAAGTGTATGCCGATACGTTTGCTGCTGCATCAGAGGAGTACCCATCATCCGAGCAAGTGATGGATGACATCACATCTCGAGACAGTCTCCGACGTGGTGCAGCTAAAGCCATTGGCATGATGATCGGCGGTGAGCGTTGTTCTTCGCTTGTCATGTTCAGAAAGTAAACGTTCGCATCCTTAGGTGGTTGCGACCCTTTTCTCGGTCACACGGCTGAGATGCATACGCGTTTCGTTGAGGCTTTGAAAGATCTAACAGCAGTACTGGATGACTGATAGGTCACTTCCAGAGAGTTTCTAAGTTTCATTCATTCGTATATGACGAGTTCTTGTTGATTTGTCAGTAATAATGCGGCATTAATAATGCCTCCTAGGCAGGCCTTTGGGGTGCACGTTAATTTGAACCTGTGATTTGCAGATGATGAGTTTTGGTATGAAAGGACCTCGAGCGCAGTACATGTTCATGCCAGCTCCTGTTCCTACCATATGCGCATGGTAGGACTCTTCTTACCTCTCTGCATTGTGATGCAAACGATCTCTCAACTGGCTTCACGATCAAAGCATAAAGTCAGTTCCATAAATCTAAATCTATAAATCATAAATCTACGTTTCGAGGATGCAAGTTGGATTGCCCTGAAGGGTGCAGCATTCAAAAGTCCCAGAAGCAATTCATGGTTATCTCCAATCGACCTACAGCGCGATCGATTACATATGAATCTTTTAGCAGTTGAAGTCATCATATGGTACGATGACTATAACTGCCGGCGTGGCTGAAGCGCAGCCTGGGGATGTTCGTGATAACTAATACTAATATGCAACGTTACGCATTTTCGCGGTTTACGTTACGGTGTGCGTAACGTAAGTTTGCGGTTACGGCAAGGGCTTCTCGGAATTGTGGCGGAAACATTCGCTGTAAGGTGCTCCACCGTAGCTCAAATAGTTGCTAAACTCATATCCGGTGGCTGGGATTCGACCAAACCGCTGAGAGAGTTAACATTTAGTTTCGCGTTGACCACTCATCTCCCTTTCAATTCCGTCCGTCTTACTCCCTGACTGGCCCGAAACTGCCTAGCCGGGCATTCACATGGAAGAGGTTGGGGTGACTTGAATGCTCAATCCTCGTTTTATCCATTGTATCCAGTGCGCCGTAACGGTCGGTAACGTAATTCTGCCCATCCATACAAGTTGGTAGGGCTATGCCTACGTCGCGTAGGCATTCACAGCTGGATGCGCAGATACAGTTCGGACACAAGTAGTCTGCTTCGAAACATGAACACAAGTAGCAGCGTTCCGTGAACGCTAGAGAATCTCTAGTAGAGGTTCCTTAGATCTCATCTTCCTTGACGAAGTGGCATACTGTCTCCCACAGTTCGGAGTCTACAGTCGGCCGTCTGCAAATGGGGACAGCCGTCTGATTAGGCTTGTGTGCTATGTGTTTTGACTCAAAGTACGTCCAAAGCGACGACTCTTTTCACATTTTTCAAGACGATATGTGGTAAGTACTGAATCTTGTAGAGCTGTATGCTCTACGCAATACGCAGACATGCATAGCTTTCGACCAAAGCCCTAATCAGCCAATATCCCCCCTGGGGTACCGCGAAACAAATTGAAGACGAAATACGCGTCAGTGATGTATCTTGCGCTTGTATCGTAGACGCGTGTCATCAATCTGGATCGTTGCCGATCACCTGTGCCCCGCACCGTTCCAGAGTGGGACCCACGAAGCACTACTTCCAAGAAAGCGCGTGATACGAGCCGCTCGATCATTTCTGTCAACTGGACGATTCTGCGACACTACGCTTAGCTTCCTTGCAATAAGGTATCTAGAAGCTAGTTCTTCTCACTCCCGGAGTTTACGGAGCATTTTGGTTTGCACACAAATAGCTCTCCGCCTTCCATAGTTGACATCTCACAATTTTTCAATTTGTCACAATGCGCTTCCTTGGGTTCTCTCTGCTGATTCTGCCGATAGTTGATGTGTTCGCCCAAGACTTGGTGAACACTCACAGGACATGCAGCGAAAATGGCTTCTGCAACAGGTTTCGAGACTGGGCCCACCTCCCTATTGATAACAGAAGAATATACTACGTACGGGGGGTCAGCTGCATGCATCCATGTTCAACGAAGAGATGAAGTGTCGGGAAAATCACTGTCCACTCAGATTCCAGACGGTGAACTGCAAGCCGCTCGCACAGGAGTGTACAGAGTGCCTGTGCGGAGCGCCAAGATCGAGAAGCTTGATGAGCCCATTCTTGCGGCGGAGGTGAGAGCCGTTGACCTCTGTCATGTAACTGACTTTGACAATGCCTTTTCAGCTACACTTTTACTCCGACAACACTGTCCGTTTCATCGTGGACGAAAACCAGAAGCTGGTGGGAAATGGGAGGAAAAGGTAGCTTTATCGGATTCGTTCTTCTCTGAGGTCGAGCATTGTAGTAGGTATCGGATCCCTAGTGGGGATGTTATCCAGGATTCTGAGCTACAACCACATGGCAGCGTGAGATACAGCTACGACAAACAGGTAAGGGAGTGCACTGTCCCCAGTGTTGGAAGATTCTCGTGGCTTTTACGATAGGCACGACAGTCTACCTTCGATCTTGGTGACTCAACTCTAGTACAAGTGGATCATGATACAGTGGTACGTTGCTCTTCGGCTTTGCCTTTCTGAGCTGATTCTAACGACAGGTTATCTCCCTTATGGTGGATGGTAGGGTGGTGCAGACGATCAACGAGAAGCAGCTGTTCGTGGTCGAGAGTGCTCGTGAACATTATGGGGACATATGGTGAGTTGAGATTTTCAGAACGCGGCTCGTAATTATCCACGTTTATTGATTCATACGCTGATCGTTGTGGCTCGTAGACTCCTTAGCGACTCTATATGCAACAGTGCAGATTTGGGAGACCATCTTGGTCACCCCACGCAGAGACGAGATAATCTTTCCCTCAGTCCTTTTGCGATCAAGCAATCGCAAGATCTATACCTTGATCCTGCATGTACTCCACAAGAGCATCCCGGAACTTGGGCAGAAGAATACAGAGAACTCACAGACTACAAGCCTCATGGTTAGCCTCCTCGCTCTCCTCGCCTCGTCGTGGTAGATTCGTTGCTCTCTTCCAGGCCCGTCGTCAGTGGCGCTGGACATAACTTTCCACGGCAGAGTCCCAGCACTGTATGGTCTGCCCGAGAAAGGGACTCGACGCTTGAAGTTGAAGATAGATGGGGATGACGATAACAAACTCTACCGGTTAGATATGCTCTCGCCTTATATCATTTTACGTCTATTCGCGTAGATTTTTCAACCTCGGCTATGCAGCATACTCGGTTGACTCGGGCACGTCAGCTCTCTACGGCACTGTTCCCACCCTGACTGCCTTACAAGTGTGTTCGTTCATGTCTTGTCAGCGGCCACACTTCCTTGTTAGGTTCTTAATGAATCAGAGGCCCCTGTCCGGTCCTCTATGTTGTGGGTCAACCCTTCGGACACCTACATTGCCTTGGAGAGGAATGAAGACAGTGAGGCAACCGTCGGCTATTGAATTGAATTTTCACTGTGAACATATATCTTCGTAGTAGTCGTGAACTTTTAACGTGTGCGGTTACAGAGAATCAGTTGGGATGGTCTGTCTTATTCAGATTCGATTCATTCCTGGTTCCTCTCTGAATCGGGCGTAATAGACGTCTTCTTGTTCCCTCAGCGGACAGCTATATCAGTACTACGGTAAGACAAAACTCGTTGACGAAACAAGGGATGCTTTTTAGGCTATGAAATCGTACCATGACGTGGTCGGATATGCACCGTTGCCACCATACTTCAGCCTGGGCTTCCATCGTTCTCACTACAGCTATGAGGTGGGTATCAACGACGATGGTCAGCTCTTGTATGGTATCTCGTGCTGGTCAGAGTCAGCGAGATATTCTCGATATCGTAGACAACTACACTGACCTTCACATTCCAGTTGATGTCTTTTGGCTCGACATAGAGCACACGAACGGCAAGCAGTAGGTATGTTCAAGTCGGAATCTTCGTTCAAACTCATATCACAGGTACTTCACATGGAATCAGACTCTGTTCCCTGACCCTTTGAAGATGGTACAAAGAGTCAACTCCCTCGGGAAGGAAATGGTTACCATCGTGGATCCGCATTTGAAGGCGACTCGGAGGTATTCTCAGCATGATATCAACGTGTCCTGACGACTCCCTCAGTTACCCTATATACCTTGATGGTTACTGTAAAGATGTCTTCGTTAAGGAGCGGTATTTCTGCAACCTCGACACCTGCAACGGTCGAGCTGATGATCTCCCAAGTGAGTCGTGTCCGCTGCACAATTCACTGAAGTACAGCTTTAGGTCCTTTGCGTGGTGCAGAAGATGAAAAGTCAGAAAATGAGGTGAGCATTCTTCGATCAGGAAGTGTTTCCTTCGCAAATTCCAATTTCAGTTAAAGTGTGGTTCTTACACAGGCGAGGTTTTCAAGGGTCTTTGCTGGCCTGGCGTCAGCGCCTGGCCAGATTTTACCAGCCCTAGAGTACGGCAGTGGTGGGCAAAGTAGGCAGACTGTTATGATGGTTTACCATCATTGGTTCTATCAATCACCCAGGTTATTCGAGCCAGATGGCGTGAATGAGTATTTCTACACTTGGAATGATATGAACGAACCGTCAGTGTTCCAGGATATGGAGGTGAGAGTCAGCAGCATCGTGTAACAGCCCTAGCAGTTCCCTCCACATCGGTTTGCCCAATTTCAGATGACGATGAACCGTGATCTCGTGCACGCGGGTGAAGTAGAACATCGTGACGTTCACAACGCGTAAGCAAGCAATGATGAGCATGTAAAGTGATCTCCTGCCTGACATCACAGTTATGGTCATTACTTTCGTATGGCGACTTTCGAGGGTCATCTGAAGTATCGTCGTCCAGGCAAACGTCCATTTGTACTCACAAGGAGCTTCTATGTGGGAAGTCACAGGTGACTAATGCAGAGATGACCCGAGCGTGGTATGATGTTTCTTGCCCCCAGGTTCGGCCCTATGTGGAACGGCGACAGCCTGTCACAGTGGGACAACTTACAGGCCGTTCTTCCAATGTTCATGACGCTTTCAGCACCTGGAGGGTAGATAATTATTATTCCATCATACCACACCTTCATATAATCTCCAAGATACTCCTTTACGGGATCTGATGTGGGTGGTTTCACTGGCCTCCCCTCTGCCGAGCTTCTTACGAGATGGAATCAGCTAGCAGCTGCAACGAGTGTATTCTACAGGTGCATTATGTGGGCCAGTGTCTTGTCTGATCGTCCCCCCTTAGACTCCATTCTGATATCGTATCGCCTCCCCGAGATCCATGGCTCTACGATGACCGCACTTTAAAGAGATTCCGTGACGCCGTTCGGGATAGGTAAGTGGCACTCCTTCTCGTCGAAGTCGAACTTAGGGGTGCTCCTTCGTAGATATCAGTTGCTACCTTTCTGGTACACTCTGTTCGCGTGCTACTCTATGTCCGGCGAGCCTATGTTAAGACCCCTGTGGTTCGACTATATGCATGATGCCAACACTTTCGACTCCAACAACGACGAGTACGACCAAGCCTTGAATCAGGAGGTGAGTTCCTGAGGCATCATGTGAGAGGTGACACGTTGCAACAGGCGATTCTTGGTACTGATATATTGGTACGTGGAGTCACTGAGGAAGGTGTGTCGGAAGTGAAAGTCTATCTCCCTGCTGGCACTCAGTGGTACGATGATGATCACAAGGTATCTGTAACTCCAGCAAACTCTGAGTCACTATTGCTCATTCAGATCATCAGCGGTGGGTCGTTGCAAACAGTGGCTGTCACTCTAGACAAGATACCCAGATTCTACCGTGCCGGAAGTATCATACCGTAAGGCTTCCTTCTGCTAGTCGCTGTAAGCATCGTACTTGTGTTTCAGACGGAAAGCCCGTGTTCGGGATTCAACTAAGGGCTCGGAAGTTGACCCACTCACTATGTGGATCAATGAAGACCCCGAATCACATGGAGCAGAGGGCTATGTGTAAGCAGTAGTCCTTGTACATAGTAACATGATCATTATTCACTAGATACCTTGATGATGGATCGAGCTACAACAGCACGTCAAGCGGCCAGTATGCTCTGTACAAGATACGGTAGGATTCCTCTGCTGTGATTGTTCACGTGATGAGGTGTTTGTTAGATTCAACCGCCCCAACATCACCATCTACAGGGAATCTGGCACGGGGGATTTCCCGCTTATAATCGATAGGATCAAACTTGTCAGTTCTCCACAAGGTTGGTGATGCATTGTTTTACGGAATCGGGTATGAATGACGACGTTTCCACCAGGGCTCGTCAATTCTACTAAAGTTGATCCTGTTACGGTTGAAATCAATCCACCAATGACAGTCAAGTACGATGAGATGTCGTTTCGGATCGAGGGCAACATGTGAGCAGTGCATTCCTCGTTCTTTCATGCTGAATAACGCTGTAGTTAGTATTTTGTTTCAGTTTGGAAACTGAGGCCCGTCTCCCCTCGCAAGGTGCCATAGATATACTTGTGGAATGATGAGATCACTACGAGTTTCCGCTGCGCAGCAGCTCCGCTGAGTTGAGACCCGGCACAGAGTATCTGGTTTAGAACCCGCTGATTCGTTTCAATTCGTCATGTGATGTATTGCGCAGTTAAAACCACATGGATTGAATATAGTGTAGGCAACATCTGGTTTTATAGCCACTTCATCGACTGAAATTAGATTCCTTTACAAAAACTTATTACCGGGCATTTGTCCTTTAAATGGACAGGGCTTATACTCACTCATGTCACAGTACCAGGAGTAATAGTGATAACTCATAAGCACAATTGGCGGCATCGATCCGAATAATGACATGAGGTCGATAGTCTTCAGCTGGTGTCCTTCGAGAAATAAGGGTTCTCTCTCATTCCAAGGGAAATCGCATCGTGAGCAGTGACCTAGTCGCTAATCATGAATTGCTTTCGGAGTAACCGAAACCTCCATGATCCAACGCAGGGTGTACGGCACACACCGTGTTTCACATACCTCGGTTTACCATCGGAGCACTCTCGACTTGGGAACGCAACACTGTACATGGAACGTTGAGTTTACCCCGTTAGTGACGAGCTAGGTTCAACCCTATTATATTCTCCTCACTATATTTCCCCAAACTTCCAACGAAGCCGATGAGTATTTGAGGCGCAAGAAGCCCGTAATCCTGAACTCAGATGCCAAAGTTCGAAACTGATGTTAGTGAGCTACGTTCCATCACGGTATGTGATATCCTAGGCATGACATCAGCCCCGACGAGTCGATAAACTCACCCCAGCAGTTCTTCCAGCTTGACCATACACGGGAGAGAAAACATCCATACCAATGACAAAACAGACACTGCCGAACTACAGTACCAATCTCGGGGAGGCCACTGCACTCTTCAAGATTTCTCTACCCGTACTCAATCTCTCCAGACTACGCAATTAACCTGCTGTCGCTAGATGAGGGGGACATAGGAGTTGTATTTGATCTGTCCTCGCTAGAAGGGGACGATATGCAGGGCACATCAAAAATGGGCGTTCGTTCTTGAGGACAATACAACTCAATTACTCGTGAGAAATGCTCATGTTAATTGGTCTCTTGCTGGTGCTGTTGCAATGAGTCCATCCTCTCTTCAATTTGCTCAAGCTTCTCAACCACGATGCGCTCCATCTCGATGCACTTCCGTAATTTCTCCGCCCGTTCTTTCTTCTTACGGCAATTCAGCTCGGCCTGACATGTACGGAAATTCCCCTCATCCAAAAGCTGCCGTCTTATCTCACCTTAGCTGTTTCCTCGAGCATCTGTCCATAGCGCTCCTCCAACGCCTTCAACTCCTCCAACTCTCTAGCAGGATCTGAAATTGTGCTCGAGGGCACCGCACATTCGGACCTTACCAGCCTCAACTTGGTTGATGATACTATCTTCCCCCACGTACATCAATGCCTGAGGAAGCAGAGATGGCTCAGCGCTAGGAGAGCCGAGGACTCACATTCACCACGACATCTGCTAGTAGACTAGAGGACTCCTCAGTTCTTGATTTCAGCTTGTTCAGAGTCGTATTGCTCGGCTGAAAGCAATTATGAAGGTTTATAAAATTTTCAAATCAAGTTATCACCAACTTGTTCGTAATGACGTTCATGAAATTCTTATTATAACGCATAATTCACTGGCCGTGAGAATCGAAGACCCTACACTCACTTGAGGTTGCATATTTTTGGTAGCAGCCGAGAACTCCTTAGCCACCGACTTGTATGCACTGGCAAAGGCGTCAATGATGCCGGACGCCACCTAGCCAATAGCAGTACCGAATCAAGGCAGAGATTATCAAGAATCAGTACCTCATTAGCATCACAGGAGAAGAACTCCTTCTGTCGCGCTCGTAGAGCGGCGTCCTCCTGTCTGCGTAGACGGGTAGCTTTCAAGGACAAAATGCCCTATAAAAGATGCACACGGAGTAGACCGAAGTGGTGGGCCAGACTAGCCCACCTGACGCGGTGATGCCAGGCGATTGTCGGTGATGAAGGCAGACAAAGACATGGGGTACTTTCCCTAGAAGGCCCTACAACGACGTTAAATATCCACCGAACTCGACTGCTATATTGTGGTCTAACGATAAGTTTCCCTCTTCCAGAACCATGCCACTAAATAGAGGTCCTCATGATACGAGGCGTTGCTACCAGAACCAACACCGACTGCGACTGAAAACACAACAAAAGCGGTAGGAGGAACTCCTCGACATCGGCAGTGCGCACCATCGAGAATTCCCTGCAATCCAACCACAAGTCAACGGCTATACTAAACGCAACAAATGATTGATAAAACTAGAAAATGGAGATACTCGAACCTGATACTCGAACGCTACTTCCAGGGAAGTAACCGATGACAAAGCAAGGTCAAGAACAAACCCTTACCAGAAGAAACATGAAAAACAAAAATACTAAAGGGCAATCTGAGACCTCATCTTATCCTAGTGCTTTGAATCTCCTAGCAACTACACCAACACTCCTGGACGACCTAGTGACAGAGCTATCAGCTTGGTTCTCAAAGTTGGTGATGATGCAGGTGAGTCGATGAGGATTTTCCATAGTTTTTCCCGTGATATGAAAAACTCCGTGAAAAACATATTTCACGACTAATATCGAGTTTTTCACCGAGTTTTACGTCACTTCACGTAAAACGGGTGAAACTCCGATGAACCATAAAGTAACTCCACCACTAGCATATCCCTGTTAAGAACGCAATACTGTGGATGGTCGTGGCAAATCAATATCAAGACGGGATAAAAAAGTGGGGAAATGCTTCAACTACAACAGCTGATAGAAGATATCCTCTACCGCCGAGTATTGCATGAAAAACTCCGATAATAACAAATCTTATCGCATACTATCACTAGTCGATCTCCTCGAGAAGATGCAATAGTACTGTTGATACCCGGAGTGAACCCGACTTGACATAAAGTAATGATAATAGGAGATACATGGACAAATCCGGCGTAACGTACCGACAATACAAGCTACTGTGAAAGCCTAGAGCTCTCACAACCCAAAGGAGGACTAATACTACTACGGTATACACAGGTCCAACGGTATCAAATCAAACGGCGACGACATAGTGGACAAGTCGTACCGTGCAGGAGCCCGTATGGGGACTTACGAGCACTGTATTGAATCAAATCCTCTATGCATCCTTGATGGTAGCAATGACCACATTTTTTAGACCGACTCACAGCTTCAGTCGCGTCCAGATTTTCGAGACAAATCGCGCAGGTCTCTGAGGCGTTGACTTCGGCACTTGATAGCGTGTCGAAGTACTTGACTACGACCTTGGCAGGATCAGCACCATCGAGGAGAATCTCCGGGTCATCCCGAAGAATCGTCTGCCGTTTATAGAGTACAACAAAAGGCCCCAAGGATAGTATCGATGCTAGTCCACACCAGCCCAGAATTACTCCTACGAACAGCCCAGCCGGACTGCACGATGAGACTAAAATCACTTAGAGTGAGCATCGAATTACCCTGGTCCCTGATTACCTTCACAAATCCCTCCTACAGTGAGCGAGGCCGCAATACTTATCATTGGAAGGGCCACCCAGAGGAAGGCAAGGGCGACTCGTGGGAACTGAAGCATCTCTTGGAGCCACGCGGGATACAAGTCGAGGTTGCTAGGAATGTAAAAAGGAGAAAACCTGACTCGCGAGCTAGTCACCGAGGGACCGAGAGAAATACATTAATCAACTAGCACGCAAGCTCAAGTATGACGAAAAATGCGAAAGGGCACGAAGAGGCTCATATACAAAATAGCAAAGGAGCGAATAGCAAAAAAGTGCCAATTAGCTGGAATGTATATTTTCTGCGGCTTTTGCTGTTGTGCTAGTGTGTAAAAACGCTATGGCTGATATACAAAGGAGCAAAGTAGCAAAATTCACTTTACAAATACGCAAATTTGCCGTTTTGTATAACAGAAACTGCTCGAATGAATATCGTTTGCTTGTTTATATTTCAGAAATTTGCTACAATGTATAAAAGTTGCTGCTATGTGAAGTGCTACTATGTACCAAAATTGAGCAATATTGCTCAAAAAAGGGGCAAACCAATAAATTGCCCCTTCTGCTATTGAGCAAATTGCTACTTTTCAGAGGAGCAATTTGCCGCTTCACGAATGGGCAACCCCACAATGGAGCAAATTTTTGCTGTTCTACAATCGGAAGAAGAAATTGAAATTTGCACGCGAGAGTCGAACCTTGGTGGGTTGTTGGTGATTGTGTTGAGAATTGCATTATAGTTTCGAACTCTCTGAGTGGTGACTCTTTAGCAAAGTTCTGTGGTTCTGTCGATATAGATAAGTATAGTTGCAGCACAGGGAGAATGATGGATGGATTATTGTAAGTGGGCGGAATCACTCGTACTGAGTGATCCGAGATCACTTATTTGGATCAACATGGATCACTCATCTGCAATGCAGTGCTGTATTGCAGGCACCCCAGTGGTGCCCATGCGAGATGTCGTGGCTTTCATACACGCATCCTGATCCCTACGTGGCCTGTTGCATGCGAACCGATATGCTCTTCGGTAGTCTGAGCAAATACTGGTCACTGGAGAAAGATGCCCCTCGCGAACATCGAAATTATCGAGGAAAGAGGCAGGCTGGCTTAACAGTGCTAAGTTAGCACTTCGCATCTACCCGGCGCTGAACAAGTTCTTCCGAGGTACCAGATGTGAGGAGATAGTGCGAAAGTACTCGCCTAACAACAATGCTATTTTATTGGTGGAGGAGTATGAGAGCCACGCGGCGAAAGAATTGCAGCACAAGCGGTCGAAAGAGGACGAGCGTGAGGAATCGAAGTAGTTTCTCCCATCACTGGAGACTAGCGACCATGCACGCACTCGCAGTAAGGTAGGCACCTCAGTGGTGCCCAGCTGTTGTAGTTGCTACAAGTAGCTGTCTCGGTGATTGGTAGAGAAAAATTGGACGTTTCTCAATATGCTTCTCTTGTAACCCTTAATAGTATCCCTATGAAGGCTCTCTAGTGGTGCCCGGGAGTGAATATTGCGTGCGGGGGGGCTGTAGAGTTCATAATCAGTAATTTAGTCCGTGTTGCGTTTCCCCTGTACAATTCTTCGACACCTCTGCGAAGTCCAAAACAATAGCTCACGAAGACGCTCCGATGAGTGCCACTGCCCATGAGCAAATGTTTATCGTGCAGAATGTCAAAGTTGCCCGTAATACTTACGTAATGCCTACTTGAGGGTTTAACTTCTGGGTATTGTTGAGTCGTCAATACGTACAATCGTAGTGAACCATGAGACACAACTGATACGACGCAAAAAGAGAGAGGATACTCGAAGATGGGACTCAATTTAACTGTTATCTCATCTGATTCAATCGCGACGTGCAAGAGAAATCATGTGTTTGGTATTCAGCATTGACCATAACTCGCGCTGTCTTCGGAGTGAATGATATATCTCACTAGAGTGCTATCACGCTTTGACCCGATACTAAGTGACTCACTTGAAGTGAGACACGAGGTGTGACACCTCTGATAGATACTTAGTAAGTGCACAGGGCATGAACATGCACCAAAATGGATATAAGACGCAATACCGTAATCGAACGAGAAATGCTATCCCATAACTATGTTTGCTCGATTGTATATTACTTGTACGAATAATGCAAAAGGGCAAGTTTGCTAATAACGCTAACAGAGACGGAGTCTGAACGAATGAGCAAAACGCTAGTACATATTCCCGCAGGGCGTAAGTTACAAGAGAGCAAATAGCCGAAACATAAAAGTAGCGCAGCGTTGTCACATACCGGCAACTGCCAATTTGTATATTTCATACAGGAACATCACACAAGAGCAAACCTTAAAAGGTGCCAGATTATATAATTACAATGCGAAACATATTAAACAGCAAATGAGCACAACTTGCCAGAATAACGAAAATGTGCGGGCGAAGCACACGTGGGCAAAAGTGCCAGAGTGTAAAACATTCCGGAGTAATATACAATGCGGCAAAAAAAGAGCAAAAAAGGGCGCCTTGCTGGAAAACACTTTCGAATT